ATAAATATTGAACTGTAACATAAAAATGCAAGCCACACCAGCACTCAGCAGATGTAATGAATTGTTTTAAACAATAGTAAACTGAGTAGAAATCACAGTAGATTCAGACTTTGACAAAAAACTTCAGTGAACAGATATATAATATAAAATATGAAAACACGTTATTTATTGCATACTTCCAAAGCGCTTTTTCTGAATTTACCTTCACCAGGAACGCTCAAAGCCGAATATTTGAAAGCCGAGGATGTATAAGAACCAAAACAGTTGCAGAGCTATATGACCAAAAAGTACCTTAAAATAGCCAAATTCATCTAAAGTTGAAACCTTTGTTTCTCTATAATTTCAAAATTAATAAACGGACAATTTTAGAAAGGTTTGTTATAAATCACGTCTACTGATACCCTCTGGTGACTGATAGTCCACCAGCAGAGGTATCGACCCAGTGCTGTAAAAAATGAAAACAACACGTTATTAATTTCAGGCGTCAGCTTAAGCGCATTTCTTGATTTACCTATTTGAAAGCCGAGTATGTATAAGAATCAAAATAGTTGCAGGGCTATATGACCAAAAATACATAAAAATATAATATGATACCATTTGATTAAATCAAATTAAAGGTAAATTTCGTCACTTTGTCTTTTTTCTTCAATTACAAGTCACTGAAGAAAGAATTACAAGGCTCGAGTGCTTTTACTCAGTACTTTTAATTTATTTGGGTGCAAATATTTTTTTCTTCAAAATTTAAGTGCACGCCCGGGCATTTTGACATAAACGTAGCTACGCGCATGACGAAACAAATAAATAAAAGTATGACCGAAACGACTTTTATTACATGGCAGAATCGATCAAGTCCGAACTGGCTCCATGGCCGAAATGTCTTGTTTCTAATGATATCGCCCAAGGTGATGGCATCGAGACCTTTGTTAGCAAAGGAAAGTTTTAGAAAGGATCTTTTCACCTTTTCCTATGGTTTGAAACGTCTGTGACTGGCGATATCCGAGATGATAGCTGTAAGTTTGTATTAGTTTGAATGGGGGTTTGTAACAGTGGTTTCCAAACATAAGTTGTGTAGAGGTTGAAGTTTTGAAAGGTTAGACTGTAGTGAATAAAACTCCGTACGAATGTGACGAATACCCAACGGCTTTTGTATAAACGACATAAGATCATCAAAAGAGACATTATGTAGAATATGTGATATATAATGACGATGACCATGACTGCGTCTACGTCGAGGAGTAGAGTTGAAAATGTTCATCAAATTCACAGAGCTACAAGAAGGACTAGATATAATTCCTATACCATTATTTTTTCTCATTGCAACCGTATGGTGTCGCAGTTCCAAGTTTCCGAATTCAGTAGTTTGTCTACGTTGAGGTTTTGCAAGATGAGGGTTGTTTGTCATATGTGGTGTATTTTTCGATGAAGTGAACTTGTATAGAAAGGATTGAATGATCAGGCTGATTAAAATATATGTCAATATATGTCTTGCAAATTAACAGGTTTCTTTACCAAAGCAGCAGAATTTCTAGAGATATACAACCTACCCTTCTTTCTTAAAATACTAGTATTCGAAAGTATACAAAACTAGAATGGTAAAGAATGACAAAATCAGCAATAAACGAACACTGGACTAGAAAACTAGGCCTAGAATGTGAAGAAAAATCAACTCTACGAAATTTGACAATCTGAAACTTAGAAATAAGTGTTACACATCCAGTTTGGGCTACAGTTTCTTCATCTGTCTCGGACATTCGAAGCAATTACAAAAAAACAGAATGTTGACAGGAACCTATATATTTTACAAGCTCATTTGCATAGATTTAATCAGGGGGGAAGTACACCCGATTTTTATACGCCCGTTTACGGGACGTATTATGGTATACCGTTTTCCATCCCGTCCGTCCGTCGTCAACATGTCGGACAGTAACTCAAAAACGCTTTAACCATTTTGCATGCAACTTTGGTGAATTGTATATATCTATTGACGCGAGCTCCCTTTCGATTTTTACAAATTTTAGATTATACGTTTCCGAGTTATGGGGTTTTATTGATTAAAAAAGGGGGGATTTTCCAGTTTTCGGACAATAACTCAAAAAAACTTTCACCAATTTGCTAGAAACTTTGGTGAATTGTTTATATCTATTGATGTGAGCTCCTTTTCAATTTTTATGAACTTTAGATTTAACGTTTCTGAGTTATGAGGTTTTATTCATTACAAAAAGGGGGATTTTCCAGTTTTCGGACAATAACTCAAAAATGCTTTGAGCATTTTTCATGAAACTTTGGTGAGTTGTTTATATCTATTGATGTGAGCTCCCTTTCAATTTTTATGAATTTCAAATTTTACGCTTCTGAGTTATGAGGTTTTGTTCTTAAAAATAGGGGTGATTTTCCAGTTTTCGACAATAACTCAAAAGTGCTTTGAGCAGTTTTCATGAAACTTTGGTGATTGGTTTATATCTATTAAGTTATTGAACTTTATTCTTTGAAAAAGTGAAGGCGTATCATACGCTCATGGTGCAGCTGTTTAATCTAAATTGTAGAACCGAAACTGATGATCTTTATAACACCGTTAAAAATACCGAACTCCAAGGAAAATTCAAAACGGAAAGCCCTTTATCAAATGTCAAAAACTGAATATGAATATCAGGAAAACATAATATACTCCCATCAAAAACTTTATGTTGGTATTACATCTCATTCAAAATGGACAACTCACTTCAGTAGCCGTGATGCAATATGTGTATCCTTATAGTAAACTGTCAGGATTTTGCAAATTCATGAATTATACCAAACAACCCAGAAATTCTTGGAAAGATTGAAAACATGTTCAGAATATACGGTTATGAAATTCACCAAAAGAGAATATCCACCGAAATATAATGTTCCCGTGGATTTCACAGATCCCCATTAAGACGCCTATAGCAATCTTTACCACCATAATGAATACATTGATAGTAACAATAGAAGCCGTCTAATTTTAGTTTTAACTGTATGCTAACCAACAGCTGTTTTAATATCTGCTTGCAAAATACTAATATATATAAACTAAAAGACTCTGCATAGGAATGCTAGAACGTTTTTGGATTTTAATATGATTAAATTTTACTCTGCAAATATAGATCATTTCTTTTAAAACAGAGATGTAAAAAAATAGCTAGCAATCATCTACTGAAATCATGTTCGTAATGCAGATCTTTTAGACTTATATTCAATGTCTTTTATATGTGAATGTTGACTTTTACTACCAAGCCAGTATCCAGTATCCTCAACAGTTAAATTATAGTGCCGACAGTTCATATATTTTATTAAGCTTACCATTGCTTGTAATATCCAATATACATCTCGGCGAACATATGAGTGACATGTGCATTCCTGTAAATAGCTTTTGTGCATGTGCAACGTTTTCACTTTTTCAACATTTCAAATTTGGAGTTAGTTTTTAATGTGAACATGTTAATTTTAAACTGATGCGTTAAGTAAACACAGCTAGCTGAGTGTGCTCCAACGTTTCGGGGAATTACAAAAAAGAAGAAGAAATTGCAGTTAGAGCTTTTTATTTGCCATCATCCATCATCTTTAAAAACCGCTATAGAAAGAAAAAACATGGCAAATATGCTCAAAATGATGAGATCGACCTAATGGCTATTGACATAAAAACTGTCAGACGACGTCGTGTAGAGTCCATTTATCAGCATAATACAGATCTGAATTTAAACTCTTCCTTTAGATGCTATTTCTTGGTCATGAAGATTAGCTTCTGTCCAAGTTTCATAACAGTCCATGAAGGTTTACAAATGTATCATGATGTCTAAAAATTTAATCCCAGACTATCTGTAAATGTTAACTGTAAAATTCTAAGTCCATCTATCAGAAAAATACTGAAAATGAAAATATATTTTCAAAGATTCTTCAGGCATTATGCCTTAATCATAAAAAAGATTCTGCCAAAGTTTCATAAAATTCTATGAAGGTTTGACAAAGTAATTGATGTGTAACAAACTTTAACCCCAGACTGTATGTACTTGTTAACTGTAAAATAATCAAGTCCAGTTATCAGTGAAATACGGAAAAATGAAAATAAATATTTTCCAAATTTTGCTATGGATACTGTATTGGTCATACCCAAACTTCTGTTAAAATTTCATAAAATTCCATGAAGTTATTGATGACTGAAAAACTTTAACCTCAGACTAAATCTGAATGTTAACAGTAAAAAAAAATCCAGTCCATTTCTCAGTAAAAAACAGAAAAATTTTGCTCTGGATATTGTATTTTGGTCATAAACCAGCTTCTGTCCAAATTTCATAAAATTCCATGAAGGTTTGACAAAGTTATTGATGTTTAAAACAACTTTAACCACAGACGGAATCTAGGATCGCTATGTCTCACTTTCGCGACATAAATGTCGCAGGCTCAACAAAAATGATCAGCAAGACAAGATCTACTAATGACTAATAACTCAAATGATCGAAATCTTCAGTCGACAACTTCATTTACCCTTTAATGACGTTTTTTCCCTTTTTATTCAACATAACTCAAATTGTCAGTTAACTCTTAATAGAGACTGACATTCCCCTTTAATGATGATTTTAACTTAAATAAGGGCATTTTTGAAGATGCAGGTGAGTGACACAGAACCTCTTCTTTTTTTAAACGAGACCCAAACGGGCTAAATAGAATTTTAAGCTCACCTCGCCACATGTTCTTTTGCGATCACTTCACTGCCTCCATTTTGGTAAGGGAGCAACCATTTAACTTCAAGGGGGGTTTATGTTTTTTTGTCTGAGTCAGAATTTTTTTCAGTTTTTCGACGCTATCAATCAAATCATTTTTTTCAAAATTTAACACTATAAGGTATGTATTTCTATTGAATTTAAATCTAGTCCGAATTATTATGACGTCTTGCAAGGCTATTTTATGTCCTAGGAAGGCGTCACAGAAAAAAATTAAAATAGCCTTGCAAGACGTCATAATTATTTGGACTAGCTTTAAATTCAATAGAATACAGTAAATACAAACAGAACCAGCCATTTACTTCTGAATTTTGATGCCTGAGCATTAACAATACAACTTTAAGTAATATTTAAATCGTAATCACAGAACTGTTGATTTTTGTGAATAAGCAAAAAGTAAAATAGCAAAAATACCGAACTCCAAGGAAAGTTTAAACCGGAAGTCCTTTATCAAAGGGCAAAATCAAAAGCTCAAACACATCAAATGAATGGAAAACAACTGTCATATTACTGACTTGGTACAGACAAATCTGACTTCAGCACAAAAAACCATACACTTTTACTTGTGTAAATTATAACATTAAATCAAATATTTGCAAGTGTATTATTCAAATACGTTGCTGGAAGCTCTTTTTAAATATTAGAAGGGATGTGCATGCAATTTGGTTAAGATGCCTCTTACTGTTGTTGATCTTATGGTAGCTGAATTTGATTCAAATGAAGCATAATCGACAGTAAAGGAAATAAATTGTGACTTGGATGGAGAGTTGTCTATTTGGCACTCATACATTTACCACATCTTCTTATATCTATAACTGAAGAACGGTAAAAGTGACACTACCCAAATGTGTACTTGATCTGTGTTTTGTGGTAATAAGTATTGTGAATAAGTTTCATAAAATTTAGTTGAGGCAAACTTAAACTAGAGAACGGAAACGATAAATTCAGCAATTTTTCCATTTGTAAAGGGGCATAACTCTAGAACAATAAAAGTGACACCCCCAAAATTCAAACTTGATCTGTATTTTGTGGTAATAAGCATTGTCAGGGACTTTCTATACTAACTTAGTATAGAAAGTCCCTGGCATTGTGTATAAGTTTCATAACATTTAGTTGAGGCTAACTTAAGTTAGAGAACGAAAACGAAAAATTCAGCAATTTTTCCATTTGTAAAGGGACATTACTCTAGAACAGTATAAGTAACACCACCAAAATTCTAACTTGATCTGTGTTTTGTGGTAATAAGCATTGTGTATAAGTTTCGTAGCATTTGGTTAAGGCAAACTAAAGTTAGAGAACGGAAACGAAAAATTCAGCAATTTTTCCATTTGTAAAGGGGCATAATTCTAGAACGGTTAAAGTGACGCCACCAAAATTCAAACTTGATCTGTATTTTGTAGTAATAAGCATTGTGTATAAGTTTCAAAACATTTAGTTGAGGCAAACTTAAGTAAGAGAACGGAAACAAAAAATTCAGCAATTTTTCCATTTGTAAAGGGGCATAACTCTAGAACGGTTAAAGTGACGCCACCAAAATTCAAACTTGATCTGTGTTTTGTGGTAATAAACATTGTGTATAAGTTTCATAACATTTGGTTGAGGTAAACTAAAGTTAGAGAACGGAAACCAACTTTGGGATGTACATACGGACGTACAGACGGACAAGGGTAAAACTTAATGCCCTCTCCGCTACGGCGTGGGCATAAAAAATTTCATAAATTTGGTAATCTGAGATTTAATTGTCTCCATATGTACAGTTTGGAAAAAGTGTTCAAAATCAACTTTTTGGGGTTGTCTTCCTTGGAGTTCGGTATTTTGTTATTTTACTTTTTTTTGTATACCCTGTAAATGTTGGTGGTTATCTTATTGGTATCTGGAGTCTTTCTGTAGTGTGCAGGTTGCTTAGCATGTGTTTTATTTTCAAGGCAAATGCTTTAGATGGTCAATGGAGGCCGGATGTGGGCACTTAAAACTTGTTTATTACACAACATTTTGTGCCTGCACCATCCTGGCTAGGCAGGCTATCGGGAATATGTGTTTGTTTCGTCTATTTAGTGGACAGAGCAATTTTTTCATAGAAGAAATATTTTTTTAACTTTAAGGATGTACACCTCTGAGGAACCAAAAAATTCGAGAATTATAGAACTACATGTATAAGAAAGTAATTGATGAAGAATAAATCATATGGCGATGCACATCTTTTGTTTTGCTAGAGCAATTTGAAAGTACCCAATTTTAATGATTTTCCCATTTTTTATCAATTTTTACCCATTTTTGGGCTATTATCATGAAAATAAAATGCTCTGCTGGGGCGCAGCTAGATACGACCGCAGAGGACGAACCCTGAACAGTTGGGGCAAGTATGGACACACCATTCAAGCTTGATACAGCACTGAATTTGGATTGTAATTAAATATTTGACACAGCATAGGTTTCTGACATAGAATGAATGTGGTCTAAGAACTTAAAAATTTTTAATTTACCCATTCAAACCATATCATTATTATTTTCTTTTATATATAAATCAGAAATAACCAATTTAAAATGGTAAATTTTAAAGAAAAAAAAGGAAAAAAAAAATCCCCCCCAATTTTTTTAACCCCCTTATGATTCATCACCCCCCAAACTAAATCCCAGCCTTCCCTTTGTGGTATGGTACCTTGCAGTACAATTTCAGAGAGATCCATACACTTGAACACAAGTTATTGTCTGGAAACTAGAAAAATGCTTGTTTTTTTTGCCCCTTTTTTGCCCCAAATTCCTAAACGTTTAGGGCAATTACCCCCAAACTCAAACCCAGCTTTCCCTTTGTGATATGGAACCTTGCAGTACAATTTCATAAAGATCCATACACTTACACACAAGATATTGTCCTGAAACTAGAAAAATGCTTGTTTTTTTGCCCTTTTATGGCCCCTAATTCCTAAAATTTTGAGGGAATTACCCCCAAAATCAATCCCAGCCTTCCCGTTGTGGTATGGTACCTTGCAGTACAATTTCAGAGAAATCCATACACTTGAACACAAGTTATTGTCTGGAAACTAGAAAAATGCTTATTTTTGGCCCCTTTTTTGGCCCCTTATTCCTAAATGTTTTGGACAATTACCCCCAAAATCAATTCCAGATTTCCCTTTGTGATATGGAACCTTGTAGTACAATTTCAGAAAGATCCATACACTTACACACAAGTTATTGTCATGAAACTAGAAAAATGTTTGTTTTTTTTTACCATTTTTGGCCCCCAATTCCTAAAATTTGGAGGCAATTACCCCCAAAATCAATCCAAACATTCCCTTTGTGATATAGAACCTTGTGGTACAATGTCTTACTGATAATTTTTACTGGTTATCATTTTTCTTCATCTACTTTAGTTTTGGTAAAAAATGAAAAATAAATGGGGAATGTGTCCATGGGACACAGATGATGGCCCTGCTTGCATATCATATAAAGTTATAAAAGGGCCACTACCCAAATTTGTACTTGATCTGCGTTTTGTGGTAATAAGTATTGTGTATAAGTTTCATAACATTTGGTTGAGGCAAACTAAATTTAGAGAACAGAAACGAAAAATTCAGCAATTTTTCCATTTGTAAAGGGGCATAACTCTAGAACGGTTAAAGTGACGCCACCAAAATTCAACTTGATCTGTGTTTTGTGGTAATAAACATTGTGTAAAAGTTTCATAACATTTGGTAGAGGCAAACTAAAGTTAGAGAACGGAAACCAACTTTGGGATGTACATACGGACGTACAGACGGACAAGGGTAAAACTTAATGCCCTCTCCGCTACGGCGTGGGCATAAAAAAATTCATAAATTTGGTAATCTGAGATTTAATTGTCTCCATATGTACATTTTGGAAAAAGTGTTCAAAATCAACTTTTTGGGGTTGTCTTCCTTGGAGTTCGGTATTTTGTTATTTTATTTTTTTTTGTATACCCTGTAAATGTTGGTGGTTATCTTATTGGTATCTGGAGTCTTTCTGTTGTGTGCAGGTTGCTTATCATGTGTTTTATTTTCAAGGCAAATGATTTAGATGGTCAATGGAGGCCGGATGTGGGCACTTAAAACTTGTTTATTACACAACATTTTGTGCCTGCACCATCCTGGCTAGGCAGGCTATCGGGAATATGTGTTTGTTTCGTCTATTTAGTGGACAGAGCATTTTTTTCATAGAAGAAATATTTTTTTAACTTTAAGGATGTACACCTCTGAGGAACCAAAAAATTCGAGAATTATAGAACTACATGTATAAGAAAGTAATTGATGAAGAATAAATCATATGGCGATGCACATCTTTTGTTTTGCTAGAGCAATTTGAAAGTACCCAATTTTAATGATTTTCCCATTTTTTATCAATTTTTACCCATTTTTGGGCTATTATCATGAAAATAAAATGCTCTGCTGGGGCGCAGCTTGATACGACCGCAGAGGTCGAACCCTGAACAGTTGGGGCAAGTATGGACACAACATTCAAGCTTGATACAGCACTGAATTTGGATTGTAATTAAATATTTGACAAAGCATAGGTTTCTGACATAGAATGAATGTGGTCTAAGAACTTAAAATTTTTTAATTTACCTATTCAAACCATATCATTATTATTTTCTTTTATATATAAATCAGAAATAACCAATTTAAAATGGAAAATTTTAAAGAAAAAAAAGGAACCCCCCCAAATTTTTTGAACTCCCTTATGATTCATCACCCCCAAACTCAATCCCAGCCTTCCCTTTGTGGTATGGTACCTTGCAGTACAATTTCAGAGAGATCCATACACTTGAACACAGGTTATTGTCTGGAAACTAGAAAAATGCTTGTTTTTTTTGCCCCTTTTTGGCCTCAAATTCCTAAACGTTTAGGGCAATTACCCCCAAACTCAAACCCAGCTTTCCCTTTGTGATATGGAACCTTGCAGTACAATTTCATAAAAATCCATACACTTACACACAAGTTATTGTCCTGAAACTAGAAAAATGCTTGTTTTTTTGCCCTTTTATGGCCCTTTATTCCTAAAATTTTGAGGGAATTACCCCCAAAATCAATCCCAGCCTTCCCGTTGTGGTATGGTACCTTGCAGTACAATTTCAGAGAAATCCATACACTTGAACACAAGTTATTGTCTGGAAACTAGAAAAATGCTTATTTTTGGCCCCTTTTTTGGCCCCTTATTCCTAAATGTTTTGGACAATTACCCCCAAAATCAATTCCAGCTTTCCCTTTGTGATATGGAACCTTGTAGTACAATTTCAGAAAGATCCATACACTTACACACAAGTTATTGTCATGAAACTAGAAAATTGTTTGTTTTTTTTTACCATTTTTGGCCCCTAATTCCTAAAATTTGGAGGCAATTACCCCCAAAATCAATCCCAGCATTCCCTTTGTGATATGGAACCTTGTGGTACAATGTCAGAGAGATCCATACACTTACACACAAGTTATTGTCACGAAACTAGAAAAATGCTTGTTTTTTGCCCCTTTTTGGCCCCTAATTCCTAAAATTTGAAGGCAGTTACCCCCAAAATCAATCCTAGCATTCCCTTTGTGATATGGAACCTTGTGGTACAATGTCAGAGAGATCCATACACTAACACACAAGTTATGTCTGGAAGTTGCAAAAATGCTTATTTTTGGCCCCTTTTTGGCCCCTAATACCTTAACTGTTGGTACCATAACCCCCAAAATCAATCCCCACCTTCCTTTTGTGGTATTGAACCTTATGGTAAAATTTCATAGAGATCCATTCACTTAAACTAAAGTTAGAGTACGAAAACCAATGTGTCTTTGGACGACGACGACAACGACGACGACGACGCCAAAGTCATACCAATATACGACCTCAAAATTTTTTTGCGGTCGTATAAAAATTAGTTTACAATTAAACTTTTTTTCATACTTTCACGGAAGATGAAGTAGACCAATCTGAATAATTTTAACTTAAGAAAACTATAGGTTGGTTTTAATATTAGAAAGTTTTATAAAATTTTGTTGCTTTTTCGTGTCAAATTGACCATGCTGTCAATTTTGCAAATTTGGAATTTTTTTCTTTTAAAAAGCATATTATTTCAACTTCTTTGTTATAAATGATTGAAAATTACATATCTAAGAATTTTGAAAAGGAAAAAAATGATATGGGATGTACATATTTTTAGTTCAATCATTTCTTTGTTCCCCCTTCCATTTTCGCAACATTTTGGCTGATGACACTGATCGGATTGGTTTTAAATCTGAAAATTTTATTACTCAAAAACTACTTATTGCAAGTTCACAATTTTTTCACAGAGTTTAGTTTGATTATAATATTTTTAAAATTCATTGATATTTTCCACTTGTATCGCATGTTTTGGAAATAATTCCCAAACGAAATTTCAACTAGACTGAAACATCAGAAGAATACATCCTTAATAAAAAACCAACTATTTTTTTTCAATAACATACAACACGAATAATATACAAGCTATGATGTTTTTATCTTTTTATTGTATCATTTCCTTTCTGAATCAAATAATTCACCAACTTTTAAAGAAAAGATCAGGCCAACCCCCCCCCCCCCCTCCTCCAAAAAAAAAAAAAAAATTACAATAAATTTGAATGATTGGTATCTTATTCATGCAAAAATACTTTATCAATCTCATAAAAAATATTGCTAAAAATGATATACAAAACAATACACTGGTTTTATAAGTACAGGTGATAACTCATTACTGCAATACATGCTAACATGGAAACAAAAAGAATAACTAATTGATTGCATGAAATATATTGAAATAACTCTTAACAGCACAACCATTAAAACAGTTTCTAAAACAGATGCATATATATATTATCAAATTAATAAAATTACAACTAAAGCTCATATATATACAATATGTCATTATTTAAAAAAAGTTAACAATATGGTAATAAAATTAAGACACAATTCTTTTGAACCATACTCTATGCTCGTTTTAACATGGGAAGTCATTGTATTTGTAATACAAAACAGATACAGATCCAGGATTTTGAAAAAGGAGGGCCTGCATTATCCATATATTTAGCTCCATAAAATAGGGGGCCCTGCTCCCCCCCCCCCCCCAAATCTGTGAGTTGTTAAATGTTGACAAATATAATGCCTAACTATGTTAAGATGAGCATAGAGCATGACATGATAGAATTATTTCGATTCTAATTTTCAAAAATAATATACAATTTGTTCTTTTACAAAGTTTGTTTATAGATTCATTAATTTCTTTGTAAGTGTGTTACATTGTGTTATGCTCCAAGTAAATCTACATTTTCAGTTTTTTTTTTGTTTTTTTTTTTTTTTTGCAGATTGCAATGCAAAAATAATCAGAGGCTCTGTCAAGAGCCTGGGTCGCTCACCTGGATCTAGGTGCATTTTAACATTGAAGAAGACTTAATTCATGACTAGGATTTGTCATTTGTTGATCTCATCTTGCTAATTACATTTTTCTTTATCTTTTAAAGTTTTTGCATATCATGCAATCAAATGGTTAAAAAATCAACATTAGAGGGGAATAACTCATATAGGGAGTCAACTGAAAATTTTGGTTATTTTGAACAAACTTGCAAATCTTGTCTTACTGATAATTTTTACTGGTTATCATTTTTCTTCATCTACTTTAGTTTTGGTAAAAAATGAAAAATAAATGGGGAATGTGTCCATGGGACACAGATGATGCCCCTGCTTGCATATCATATAAAGTTATAAAGGGACACTACTCAAATTTATACTTGATCTGCGTTTTGTGGTAATAAGTATTGTGTATAAGTTTCATAACTTTTGGTTGAGGCAAACTTAAGTTAGAGAACAGAAACGAAAAAAATTCAGCAATTTTTCCATTTGTAAAGGGGCATAACTCTAGAACGATTAAAGTGACGCCACCAAAATTCAGCGCAGCTTGATACGACCGCAGAGGTCGAACCCTGAACAGTTGGGGCAAGTATGGACACAACATTCAAGCTTGATACAGCTCTGAATTTGGATTGTTATTAAATATTTGACACAGCATAGGTTTCTGACACAGAAAGAATGTGGTCTAAGAACTTGAATTTTTTTAATTTACCTATTATGGTCCAATGTCCAAAATCAAAATACATGGTTAGATTCAGCATATCAAAGAACCCCATATATTCAATTTTTGTTAAAATCAAACAAAGTTTAATTTTGGACCCCAACTTGGACAAACTTGAAAACTGGGCCCATAATCAAAAATCTAAACACATGTTTAGATTCAGCATATCAAAGAACCCCAAGAATTCAATTTTTGCTAAAATCAAACTAAGTTTAATTTTGGACCCTTTGGACCTTAATGTAGACCCATTTAAAAAACGGGACTTAAAATTAAAAATCTAAATACACGGTTAGATTTGGAATATCAAAGAACCCCAATAATTCAATTTTTTATGAAATCAAACAAAGTTTAATTTTGGACCCTTTTGACCTCAATATGAACCAATTTGATAGCGGGGCCCACAAATAAAAAATCTAAATTCATGGTTAGATTCAGCATATCAAAGAACCCCATATATTCAATTTTTGTTGAAATCAAAAAAAGTTTAATTTTGGACCCCAACTTGGACCAACTTGAAAACTGGGCCCATAATCAAAAATCTAAACACATGTTTAGATTCAGCATATCAAAGAACCCCAAGAATTCAATTTTTGTTAAAATCAAACTAAGTTTAATTTTGGACCCTTTGGACCTCAATGAAGACCAATTTAAAAAACGGGACCCAAATATTAAAAATCTAAAAACACGGTTAGATTTGGCATATCAAAGAACCCCAATAATTCAATTTTCGATGAAATCAAACAAAGTTTAGTTTTGGACCCTTTTGACCTCAATATGAACCAATTTGATAGCGGGGCCTACAAATAAAAAATCTAAATACATGGTTAGATTCAGCATATAAAAGAACCTCATATATTCAATTTTTGTTGAAATCAAACAAAGTTTAATTTTGGACCCCAATTTGGACCAACTTGAAAACTGGGCCCATAATCAAAAATCTAAATACATGTTTAGATTCAGCATATCAAAGAACCCCATATATTCAATTTTTGTTGAAATCAAACAAAGTTTAAATACTGGACCCTATCTTGGACCAACTTGAAAACTGGGCCCATAATCAAAAATCTAAACACATGTTTAGATTCAGCAAATCAAAGAACCCCAAGAATTCAATTTTTGTTAAAATCAAACTAAGTTTAATTTTGGACCCTTTGGACCTCAATGTAGACCAATTTAAAAAACAGGACCCAAAATTAAAAACCTAAATACACGGTTAGATTTGGAATATCAAAGAACCCCAATAATTCAATTTTAGATGAAATCAAACAAAGTTTAATTTTGGACCCTTTTGACCTCAATATGAACCAATTAGATAACGGGGTCCACAAATAAAAAATCTAAATACATGGTTAGATTCAGCATATCAAAGAACCCCATATATTCAATTTTTGTGGAAATCAAACAAAGTTTAATTTTGGACCCCAATTTGGACCAACTTGAAAACTGGGCCAAAAATCAAAAATCTAAATACATGTTTAGATTCAGCATATCAAAGAACCTCATATATTCAATTTTTGCTAAAATCAAACAAAGTTTAATTTTGGACCCTTTGGACATTAATGTAGACCAATTTAAAAAACAGGACCCAAAATTAAAAATCTAAATACACTGTTAGATTCGGCATAACAAATAAATAAATGTGATCAAAGATTTTACAAATCTAATGCGCCATACTGTGCAATTAAAGATTACTTCTTGAAATTTTTCAATATTTGAAATTTGAAAAAAAAAAAATATTTGAAGAATAATTCTTTTTAATTTCTGAAATCTGAAATGAGAAAAAATTGGCCCCCCACAATTTCTTTTTATCCCCCCCCCCTTTTTCCCCCCAAAAAATTCTTTCCCTCAAGATATGGTCATAATCTCAATTCAAATTTCCAATGGAGTTGGCAACCATAATTACCCATTTAAATTTACCATAGTGCTAACTTAATCTATTTTATAATAGAATTAATAAAAATATAGTGTCAAATCTTTCATATGGATTTTTTTGTAAAAAAAAAAGATGAAAACATTTGCAGATATTTTTACTGGTCTTCCTTTATAAATATGCATTTCTTTAAACATAATTTAAAAGCAGTGTAAGGGAAGTAACCAAAACGTTGTATTTGGATTACCTCCCTTACACTGTTTTAGATTATCTTTATTGTTCATTAACCATTACTTTATACATAATTTAAAAGCAGTGTAAGGGAGATAATTTCAATGATGTATTTGATTCATCTCCCTTACACTGCTTTAAATTATGTTTTGTACTAAAGTATTTGTCCATTAACCAGGACAACCTTGTTTTTCCCCCATTTTTGCCCCTAATTCCTAAACGGTTTGAGCCATAACCCCCCAAAGCAAATCCTAACCATCCCTTTGTGGTATGGAAACTTGTAGTATAATTTCAGAGAGATCCATACACCGTTCCACAGTTATTGTCTGGAAACTAGAAAATGCTCATTTTTGGCCCCTTTTTGGCCCCTAATTCCTTAACTGTTGGTACCATAACCCCCAAAATCAATCCCAACCTTCCTTTTGTGGTATTTAACCTTATGGTCAAATTTCAAAAAGATCCATTCACTTAAACTAAAGTTAGAGTGCGAAAACCAATATGTATTCGGACGACGACGCCGCCGGACGACGACGACGACGACGACGCCAACGTCATACCAATATACGACCACAAAATTTTTTTGCGGTCGTATAAAAATAACATTTACCCTTTTTCATGTTTAAATCGCCCATAATTTTGTTCATAATTTTTATAATATAAAATTCACTAGATTTTCGCACATTGCAGGAATTTAAGCTGAATATTTTATTGTAATATTTATAAATGTCTATAAAGTAAATTTTAGTTCCAAAAATAACAATCAGATTATTGATAAGATAACGAAAATCCAAAGAAGTGTAAAATATTTCATATACATACAAAAAATCTAAAAAGAAGCCTAATGCATATTGTTTTGTATAATTATGCAACATAAAACATATTTTGAATTACACACACAAGTTTAAAGCATTTCAAATATACTTCTGAATATATTTAATCTTTTTTTTCAAATTATTTTTACTTCAATTTTCATTGTGTTGAATCTTTTATTCTTTCCATACAATTCATACATGAGGAAAATCCCTAGACATCATTTTCCAGTAAAAAATCTCATTTTTTTCGAACAACACTCATATGTTAATATATATGCAAATCCAATGAAAAATATCTAAAGTGTTGGAAGTTGAGCTAAGAAATATGTACATAATTAACTCCCAATTCCATAAAAAAAACAAGAGTGCACATGCTGAAATGTCTCGCCTTCTTTACTAACCATTGATATTATGTTGATAGTCCTAAATGAAAGCTTTACTACAACTATTACATAAACATAAATGATCCAAGAAAATGAAGTCAAGGTCATATATGCCAAACGAGAAATACATGTTCACCTTACAATCATTCAATACACTAAATATAGTTGACCTATTACTTATAGTTTCTAAGAAACAGACTTAACCAAGAAAACTGAACATTGACCAATGAATTGTGAAAATGAGGTCAAGGTCAGATGAACCATGCTAGGCAGACATGAACAGCTTACAATCCTTCCATACAACAAATATAGCTGACCTATTGCTTATAGTTTAAGAAAAACAGACTGAAACACATAAACTTAACACTAAGCAATGAACCGTGAAAATGAGGTCAAGGTAAAATAAAACCTGCGTGACTGACATGTACATCATAGAATATTTCCATACACCAAATATAGTTGACTTATTGCATATAGTATAAGAAAAAAGACCAAAACTCAAAAACTTAACTTTGACCACTGAACCATGAAAATGAGGTCAAAGTTAGACACCTGCCAGTTGGACATGTACACCTTACAATCATTCCATACACCAAATATAGTAGACCTATTGCATAAAGTATAAGAAAAATGGACCAAAACACAAAAACTTAACTATAACAACTGAACCATGAAAATGAGGTCAAGGTCAGATGACACCTGCCAGTTGGACATGTACACCTTACAATCCTTCCATACACCAAATATACTAGACCTATTGCTTATAGTATCTGAGATATGGACTTGACCACCAAAACTTAACCTTGTTCACTAATCCATGAAATGAGGTTGAGGTCAAGTGAAAACTGGCTTGATAGGTACGCACATACCAAATATAGTTATCCTATTACTCATAATAAGAGAGAAATTAACATTACAAAAAATCACAACTTTTTTTTCAAGTAGTCACTGAACCATGAAAATGAGGTCAAGGACAATGGACACGTGACAGACGGAAACTTCGTAACATAAGGCATCTATATACAAAGTATGAAGCATCCAGGTCTTCCACCTTCTAAAATATAATGCTTTTAAGAAGTTAGCTAACAAAAGTCGCAGGCTTGACAAAAACCTTATAAGACATGTCTGATACAAGCTTGTTCCAATATCTTGTAATAATGCACCATCCTCATTCCTTTGCCTGCACCCACACAACTTCATCATTTAATGCTAATGTTGGTTAAATTTATGGACACTCAGAGTAAATAACGAATGACTTTGTTCTGAATTTGATTCAAGCAAGCCAATTCTTTGTATTCCCAGAGAGAAGTGTTATAGTGAAGACTTGGCACTGCACACAATGTTAAAAGTTTCTCAAAAGTTTTATATCAATTAGTCTTTTGCATGATGAATCTTGGAGATGACCCCTCTTAAAGCTCTACCTCCAACTTCTGATAGTCTATTTGCATTATATTTAAAAGATCATGAAAAGTTACACTGAGGTATATATTTATATGTGTTAGTAATTGTTGTAGATTGTCCCCGCTTTTGAACTGGAATTCACTTTGTTCAGTACCAGACAGAAGAAAAAGTTTAACTTTTGATTTCTTTGTATTTATCAATACATGCCATTGCTTATACCCTTCATTGTCTTAATTCAGCATATATTGCATGCCAGCTTCGGTCAATGCCAATAAGATAATGTTGTCGGCATATAAAAGTAACAAGAGCATAGAGTCACCAATATTTACACTAAGTCCGAGAATGTTCACTTCATGTACAAGGATGTTGATAAAACTTTAAAATAAGGTTGGAAACAAATTATCCCCTTGTTAAACCCTGAAACATACAAACCACTAAGAAAGTCTGTAATTGTTTACACGAAAAAAAGCAGAAGTTTGTTAGGTATTAATGTTCTTGTTTAATGAAGCACATGTATCGATTATGATGTCCATTCTTTGCCATGTATTATAAGGTAAAAAAAATTCTATCAAAGTATTCAAATCAATTTTGATTTTAAAACTTGTCATGTGGTATAGGCACTAGTCTATCATTTAAAGCACTATGGTAACCTTAAGAGAGTCAAATTCTGGTGAACATTGGTGCTATGAGAAAGCTGTCTCATCATTACTAACCTCTGTCACTTTTGAAATGGCAAGTTTCAATTCTTCTTTTTCAACACTTTTATTTTCAGAAATCCAGGATGAGAACAAATTTTGTATTAATTTCCCTAGAGTTGCTTCCTCGCCGTTTTTATTTTTCCATTTATACAGCATTTGACAGCACAAGTCTGTTGGTTGTTTTGTCTGTATCTCTGCAACATCGATCAGATTCAAGTCTAAATGGAGTGCTACACCATTGAAACATTCTGGATGAATAGCTTTACTCAGAAATAAAAGATCGTTGTCGTCTAACTGTTTATATCGGTGTACCTGCCATTCATGTCCAATCCACTCATCTAAAAAAATTGTTGATGAGATTAAGACAGGAATTCCTAAACTGGATATTATATATGTCTAAAATCATTCATATTGAAACCTTCAAAGCGTCTTTTCTTATTATTTCATCAGTTTGGTTTGATAATACCTGACAAAACATCTTTCATTTGATTTTTTGCAGTATTTCATAATAAAATTGACTGTGAAATAACACCTTTTAATAATTGGTTGGTAGATTGGTTTAATTTAAGAGCAATGTTAGACCTTCTCTGTCACTCATGATCATTCCACTATGGTAATCTAAAAAGATGTTGATGAGATTTGATAAGACAGAAAATCCTAAAACTGGATATCATATATATCTAGAATCATTCATTATGAAACCTTTAGAATCAATTCTGATTCATAATTTAGTGACCAGATATGATGTCATGAATATATAATAATCACAGCTGTTTAGCTACAATAAAGTACATGTCACTTAAATGGAAGTTGATAAATCTTACCAATAGTAATATGATCATTGGACACAGGTTGTGTTCTTCCAGGACTCCTCTGATGTGTAATGATTTCTTTCTCTCTTGCATGCAAATTGTGATTCTCTGCAGCACCATTATCCCTGTTTGAGTGGTTATGTGGATCTATTTAATAAATGAATTAAGGTAAAAAGGGATATCAGACAAAAATAGCCACATGACACGTACTTTCAAATGGTATATAAATGGAATTTCACAAAGCAACAAGTTTGGCTTTTCTCACTACTGTTAACCAACTTATTTTCACAACTGATTTATTTTAGTGACTTTTCAAGGTGAAAAAAATAGAAGGAATAGAAACTATTGTGATTTAATAATAATGTTAAACTTGTTTCTTGTGTAATATAAAAACACCAACTAACTGAACAAAGTTAGAAAACTGTGAAGATAAACGGTCGTGAAATAAAAAGTAAAGAAAGTTCATGGTACATGTATAGGGAACCCCCCTTTATCCTGGGTTGGGAACCCCCCTTTTAAAAATGGTTGGATCCGCCCCTGCAAAGTGTTCCATTTTTCACAATGTTTATTCCTAACAAAAAATCTAAATAACAAATTTTCTTGATCTATCAGAACAGACCTTATCCCCAAAATTCCATTGGGTTAAACTTATATAGAAAATAGGATTGAGGTAGGAAGACTGTTAAACAGCTGACATTTTAAATTAATATCTCGGCATCATCATCATGTGCTAGAGAATTACACAAATTTTTAAACTTTTCTAAACTGATGATTATGTTACTACACGGCTGTTATATTCACACTGATTTTTAAATAACGCAACACATTCTTGGCCATCTCTGAATTCCATCATTTATGGTCTGAATTTGCAAAAATGATTTAAAATGTATGATTTTACAATCAATATTTTTTTTTCTGTTTGTGTCTGTATCATATTTGAAGATTTATAGACATCAATTGTTTTAAAATTTGAGGGTCACATACATCCATTTACTGGTGTCTGAACAATAAATTTGATTTGCTATCAGCAAAATTTAGCAATAAATGGCTGCAATTCTGCAATAATAAACTCTTATCTCCTATACTTAAAAGATTATTTAAAATACTCAAAACTTATTGCTGACCAGAAGTAAATTAATTACGTGCAGTATTCAATTTGGTAAATAAGAAAACAGAATATTCAAAATGACTTGGAAACTTAAATTTTTAAAGTCAAAGAAAGTTTTACCATTGTCATGTCAAGACAAAAAGATGATGGCTGTTATTGCTAACCCAATGAAAGTTTTCCACAGTGCCATCTCTGTCTTGACCAGGTATTTAAACTTTTGCAAGTTCACCTGTCCTATCGAATAAATACAATACTATTGTTCTCTGTATAGTTTATTCTCTGGGACCTTTAAATTTCTTCTAAGAGAAATCAATCATTCATTGATTAAATTACCTGAGTAAAAAAAAATTCTTATATATAGACAAAAATACTTTTTTTATACTCATTAATTGCGTGTGATGATGTATTTATTCAATATTAATAATATATTTTCATTCAGTTTAATATAAACATTGATTCAATCATAAAAAGTTGATTTCTAACAAAAGTTTTATCAATGTTCCTATTGAAATTTGATTTTTTTTGTTTAGTTATAGAATACATTTATGAAGATCTTAATTTGAAACATCATTATTTTCAAGTTCTTATTTAGGTCAAATTTTTTTTTTTAAAAGGAACAATGTTGAAAGTTTTGTCAGAAATCAACTTTTTATGATTGAATCAATGTTTATATTAAACTGAATGAAAATATATTATTAATATTGAATAACTACATCATCACACACAGTTAATGAGTATAAAAAAGTATTTTTGTCTATATGTAAGATCGTTTTTTTACTCAGTTAATTTAATCAATGAATGATAGATTTCTCTTAGAAGAAATTTAAAGGTCCCAGAGAATAAACTACACAGAGAACAATAGCTATTGTATGTATTCGATAGGACAGGTGAACTTAAAAAAGTTTAAATACCTGGTCAAGATAGAGATGGCAATGTGGAAAACTTTCATTGGGTTCGCAATAATAGGAATAGATATTGATGCATGAAATTAGCTTTTAAATGTACAACTTAATTTTTGATTAACTAAAATATCACAAATTTGGATTATTTAAATGCTATCTGTTGAATTTTGTTGGTGATGAATTCTATAATTACATAATCACAGATATATACCCTTCAATGTAAAAAGAACTTGAAAGATTTAAAAAGGAATTTTTTTTTACAAGAAAATGTCAAGGAAAAGTGACATCTCATAATTAGAGCTCAACCAAGGATTAATTAAATCAAACAACCCATATAAAGATCTAAACAAAATAAACAACCTTTTGGAAAAAGTATAGAGATAAGATTATTTACCTTGTACTGTACATTTGCCATCAGTTTCAATATTTTGAGCATGCTGGTTTCCAGTATTATTGTATCTGTCTGTATCGTCCACTGGCGATGTAATATAAGTTTGACCAGGGACAGAATCATGTGATGTCAGTCTTTTATAACTTGCTGCATCTAGAATCTTGTCCTCATTTTGATCAGTGCAAACAGTCCCTTCAGAAATAGGAATTTTCATTTCTGATTTTGAACTGATATTGTCCATTTTACCCTTCACAATGTCAATTGATGTTTCTGTTTTATCAGTATTGCTTGATGTTTTGTCACCAGTAATAGCCAGTTGGTGCTGCATTTTAATCTGCTCAAGTTTCAATGCTTCCTCAGGAAATATCTCATTACGAAGTCTGATGTACACTCCAGTAGACATGGTGTCAAACAGATTGCCAATATTGACTCCATGTTGAAATAGCTTATCTATAGGAAATGTTCTTTTTTGTTCTTCAGAAAACTGTTGATTATGATAAAAAGATGGAAATCCCCTAATATAAACAAGAACAACATAGGCCACACTATCAAGAATAACAATGCCAGGACTACCTGAAGCTCCACCAACAAAGTCACACTTAATAACCAATCTATCTTTTCTGTCCAGTCCTTTGTACCCATTCTCCTCTCCATATTGTTGACAAAACTTTTCAAGATTCTGTAGCCTTTTCTCTGTTGGTTTCCAAATACCAATACCAGAGTTTACCTCCTTTTGTTTACTTTGATTGTGACTGATCAGATAAATTTGTTTATCCTCATCTTTTTCAGGATTAAGTACATGGAACGTCTTAAGTGGGGGAGGAAACTGTTTCTTCTCATCAGGTTTCAGCTGTAGAACTGCAACATCCAAACTTTCATTCATAAACAATACTCTTGGTTCAACTTTGAACGGACTGGATGACTCTTTGCTAATGTATTCAAAGTCCACCCTAAATTTCTCCAAGTCTTGCTCAAAGTTAGTTTTAATCATTTGATTCCCTGAAAAAATTGATATTAATGGATGCATTCTTAATGTCATGCACAAAACAAACAGAACAATAATTAACATCTCCACTAATACTGTAAACCAACTTATTTAAGAAATAATTTAATACATGGTAGGTTTGTTTTCATTTCATAGATATACTGTGATTATACTGGTTTACAATGTATATAGGTCGTCATATTAGATTTTATATTTTAACGGTTTTCAGCATTAGACATTTGTCTATACTATAAAGTATGTAAAGAATTAAATCTTAGATCTATATCTTAAAACATCTCTAAGGTATTTACAACAGATTTTTATCAAACCTCCAACAAAAGTCAATTCAAATAAGGATCGAGGGCCATTTTGAGTTCTGAAAAGGATCAAAATATTTTTAACTCAAACACAAATGATACATTGTAAACAAAGAAGAGTTTTTATAAATCTTTTTTCTTATTGCGAACCCAATGAAAGTTTTCCACAGTGCCATCTCTATCTTGACCAGGTATTTAAACTTTTGCAAGTTCATCTGTCCTATTGAATAAATACAATAGCTATTGTTCTCTGTGTAGTTTATTCTCTGGGACCTTTAAATTTCTTCTAAGAGAAATCTATCATTCATTGATTAAATTACCTGAGTAAAAAAAAATTCTTATATATAGACAAAAATACTTTTTTTATACTCATTAATTGCGTGTGATGATGTATTTATTCAATATTAATAATATATTTTCATTCAGTTTAATATAAACATTGATTCAATCATAAAAAGTTGATTTCTAACAAAAGATTTATCAATGTTCCTATTGAAATTTGATTTTTTTTGTTTAGTTATAGAATACATTAAAGAAGATCTTAATGTTTATATTAAACTGAATGAAAATATATTATTAATATTGAATAACTACATCATCACACGCAGTTAATGAGTATAAAAAAAGTAATTTTGTCTATATATAAGAATTTTATTTTACTCAGGTAATTTAATCAATGAATGATAGATTTCTCTTAGAAGAAATTTAAAGGTCCCAGTGAAAAAACTACACAGAGAACAATAGCTATTATATTTATTCAATAGGACAGGTGAACTTGCAAAAGTTTAAATACCTGGTCAAGATAGAGATGGCACTGTGGAAAACTTTCATTGGGTTCGCAATAAAAAGACCTTGGTTTGACCATGGCAGAGATTTTACCCACTGTCTCTTGTATTATCATGAAACCACTTAGGTAGCCAACATGATGACAAAGTTATTAGTACTGTAATGCATTATACATACAAATGTACTTACATATATTATCTATTACAACATGTGCAGCAGTAATAATTATTACTGTAATGCATTGTATATACAAATTTACTTACATATATTATTTATTACAACATGTGCAGCAGTAATAATTATTACTGTAATGCATTGTACATACAAATGTACTTACATATGTTATCTATTACACCATGTGCAGCAGTAATACTTATTACTGTAATGCATTAATTGTACATACATATATACTTACATATATTATCTACTGCAACATGTGCAGCAATAAAAATTATTACTGTAATGCATTAATTGTACATACAAATGTACTTACATATAATATCTATTACAACAAGTGCAGCAGTAATAATTATAACTGTAATGCATTAATTGTACATACAAATGTACTTTTTTTTTTATTATTATTGCGAACCCAATGAAAGTTTTCCACAGTGCCATCTCTATCTTCACCAGGTATTTAAACTTTTGTAAGTTCACCTGATATTGAATGAATACAATAGCTATTTTTCTCTGTGTAGTTTATTCACTGGGACCTTTAAATTTCTTCTAAGAGAAATCTATCACTCATTGATTAATTTACCTGAGTAAAAAAATTTTCTTATATATAGACAAAAATACTTTTTTTATACTCATTAACTGCGTGTGATGATGTATTTATTCAATCTTAATAATAAATTTTCATTCAGTTTAATATAAACATTGATTCAATCATAAAAAGTTGATTTCAAACAAAAGTTTTATCAATGTTCCTATTGAAATTTGATTTTTTTTTTGTCTAGTTATAGAATACATTTAAGAAGATCTTAATTCGAACATCATAATTTTCAAGTTTTTATTCATGTCAAACAAATTTTTTTTTATTGCGAACCCAATGAAAGTTTTCCACAGTGCCATCTCTATCTTGACCAGGCATTTAAACTTTTGCAAGTTCACCTGTCCTATTGAATACATACAATAGCTATTGTTCTCTGTGTAGTTTATTCTCTGGGACCTTTAAATTTCTTCTAAGAGAAATCTATCATTCATTGATTAAATTACCTGAGTAAAAAAAAATTCTTACATGTAGACAAAAATACTTTTTTTATACTCATTAATTGCGTGTGATGATGTATTTATTCAATATTAATAATATATTTTCATTCAGTTTAATATAATCATTGATTCAATCATAAAAAGTTGATTTCTGACAAAACTTTCAACATTGTTCCTTTTAAATAAAATTTGTTTGACATGAATAAGAACTTGAAAATAATGATGTTTCAAATTAAGATCTTCTTAAATGTATTCTATAACCAAACAAAAAAAAAATCAAATTTCAATAGGAACATTGATAAAACTTTTTTTAGAAATCAACTTTTTATGATTGAATCAATGTTTATATTAAACTGAATGAAAATATATTATTAATATTGAATAAATACATCATCACACGCAATTAATGAGTATAAAAAAAGTATTTTTGTCTACATGTAAGAATTTTTTTTTACTCAGGTAATTTAATCAATGAATGATAGATTTCTCTTAGAAGAAATTTAAAGGTCCCAGAGAATAAACTACACAGAGAATAATAGCTATTGTATTTATTCAATAGGACAGGTGAACTTGCAAAAGTTTAAATACCTGGTCAAGATAGAGATGGCACTGTGGAAAACTTTCATTGGGTTCGCAATAAAAGGAACAATGTTGAAAGTTTTGTCAGAAATCAACTTTTTATGATTGAATCAATGTTTATATTAAACTGAATGAAAATATATTATTAATATATTATTAATTTAACATAAATCAACGCTAACATGTTTAACCCCGCACATTCTGTATGTATGTGCCTGTCCCAAGTCAGGAGCCTGTTATTCAGTGGTTGTCGTTTGTTTATGTGTTACATATTTGTTTTTCGTTCATTTTTTGTACATAAATTAGGCCGTTAGTTTTCTCGTTTGAATTGTTTTACATTGTCATTTCGGGGCATTTTATAGCTGACTGTGCGGTTTGGGCTTTGCTCATTGTTGAAGGCCGTACGGTGACCTATAGTTGTTAATTTCTGTGTCATTTGGTCCCTTGTGGAGAGTTGTCTCATTGGCAATCATACCACATCTTCTTTTTTATATTTTATTAATGTTTCAACTTTACATCACTGTTTACATTCACCCGATTGAAAATATATTATCAATATTGAATAAATATAACATCACATGCAGTTTTGAGTATAAAACTTTGATGGAGAGTTGCCTCATTGGCACTCATACCACATCTTCCTATATCTTTTTTCCTCTATTTACAAGATTTTTTTTTACTCAGGTAAATTAATCAATGAGTGATAGATTTCTCTTAGAAAAAATTTAAAGGTCCCAGTGAAAAAACTTCATGGAGAAAAATAGCTATTGTATTCATTCAATAGGACAGGTGAACTTACAAAAGTTTAAATACCTGGTCAAGATAGAGATGGCACTGTGGAAAACTTTCATTGGGTTCGCAATAATTGTTTTTGGCTTTTAACTACTGTCAGTAATTGCGAGTACTCTCAAATCGTACTTTCTTGTTAATTTGACCTGTTGATACTATTTGTAATGCTTTTTTGTTATTTAATGTTTACTTATTCAGAGTTATATCTCGTCTATATACCAGCTTTGATAAGTATTTGGTATGACTATAAATTTTCACTTCTTCGTACTAAGAACAACAAAATTATTTAAATATTTCCGTTCTCCATTTAAACTGTATACCTTACAACAAAATTATTTTCATTTACCTGTGTATATTGATGTATTTGGCGGCTTTTTGTTCAAGGTTATTGTTGTTTTTTTTAAATTGTTTAACATCTCACAGCGGTATACTACAGTTGCCTTTATTTATTCACCCCTTATTTTATTTTAATGATTTTGTATTTACATTGCATCATAGATCGAATTTATTCATTCAGTGTATGTTCACTTGTGTTAATATGTCTTTTGATTGAGTTAAGCCATTTCAATTGATATTTTATAGTGTGTCTTTCTATGTTGTGATGTTACACTATTGTTTCAGATTAGGGTGAAGGTTGGTACCTATTAAAACGTTTAAACCCACTGCATTTGTTTGCACCTGTCCTAAGTCAGGAATCTGATGTTCAGTAGTTGTCGTTTGTTGATGTGGTTCATTAGTGTTTCTCGTTTTTTATATAGATTAGACCGTTGGTTTTCCTGTTTGAATAGTTTTACACTAGTCATTTTTGGGGCCCTTTATAGCTTGCTGTTCGGTGTGAGCCAAGGTTCCATGTTGAAGACCGTGCTTTGACCTATAATGGTTTACTTTTACAAATTGTGACTTGGATGGAGAGTTGTCTCATTGGCACTCATACCACATCTTCTTATATCTATTTACATATATTAATTACTACAACATGTGCAGCAGTAATAATTATTACTGTAATGCATGAATTGTACATACAAATGTACTTACATATATTATCTATTACAACATGTGCAGCAGTAAGAATTATTACTGTAATGCATGAATTGTACATACAAATGTACTTATATATATTATCTATTACAACATGTGCAGCAGTAATAATTAATTGTACATACATATATACTTACATATATTATCTACTACAACATGTGCAGCAGTAACAATGTAAGTACTGTAATACATTGTACATACAAATGTACTTACATATATTATCTATTACAACATGAGTAGCAGTAATAATTACATACATGTGAACCTCCCGACGGGAGTACAATAATCCTGTTTTCAGGGGTCTCCTCCCAACTTCCCGTTCAAGAGAAAAAAATCCAGTGTATGAAATATTTCATGAATGAAAAATTTCAGCCCAACATCTTGTGTAACCGACATTAATTGAAGTTATATTTTACCTGGAAATCAATTAACATGCATAATCATAAGGCTTCACTTGTCAGCTTGGGTGTCAAACATACTGGTAATCCACAATTTTTACCTCAGGCTAACTGCCGTTGTGTAATAAAAACTTTGTGTATTTAAAAATAATTGAAATGAATTTTGGGTTACTTCCCTTGATTTATCCTGTTTTAAGTTACTTTCCTTTAAATATTGTAAATTTTTAAAAGAATATAAATAAAATATAAATTGTACAAATAATCATAAAAGGATGGTAATTAAATGATTTTAAATGTCTTAGGACAAGTAAAAAAATAATAATTTGAAAATTATTTGAGGGTTCTATACTTCCTTTTAAGGCTTAAATTGAAGTTTATATAATAACTATGAACCTTGATGTTAATTTACCGACCGTGCGAGGGATGTATATCCAGTCAAGGTCGTAAAACACTTCCAGTACTAGATGTAAATTTCGAATGTTTTTTCTTAACATTCAAAAAAGATCTCTATGCAGATAGTTAAACAAATGTTCTGATTGCAGTGATTGTTCTAAAGAATAATGATGAAAAAAATATAAAATCAAGAATTTAAAGAACATACTAAAAAAAAAAGAATGTTAGATTGAAAATGTTGAATCAAGATAGAGAAAATTTATAAGTAAAAGGGTACTATAAACATAATATATTCGGATGGAAAGTAGAAGAAAAAACACTTTAAAAGACAATTTCTACAGCACACGGTTACATTTACGACAAAATTTATGTCGATTAAAAACCTCCTGATCTGAGTACTAATCTCCTGACCAAAATTTCCCAATTTCCTGATCTGAGTTTCACAGTCCATCACATGTATGTAATTAGTACTGTAATGCATTATACATACACATGTACTTACATATATTATCTATTACAACATTTGTAGCAGTAATAATTATAACTGTAATGCATTGTACATACAAATGTACTTACATATGTTATCTATTACAACATGTGCAGCAGTAATAATTTTATATACTTACATATATTATCTACTACAACATGTGCAGCAGTAATAATTTTATCATCACCAACCCTCCAGCATGTTCCAGATTTTTTAGGTCCAATAATATGTCCCACAGATTTTGCCACCTCTGTCAAAACATTCAATGTTTCAAAACTATGAATGGCAGCCTTTGTATTCCCTATTGAAAATATTTAGTATTTAGTTTGCTTCTGGAATAAAGAATTTTTTTAAAATGCAACCTTATTGGCCCTTTTTTTGGTGAAACTCTAAGTAAGTCCATTTAGGGAACTTTGATGAAATATATCTTATTATGGATTTTTGTGCAGAATAGAGTAATGCAAATTGAACAATATTTCTAATAAGTAAACAATTGGGAAGCTGAAATCGTCTCTATTGTCGTAAAGTTTAGTTCTCAACTGACCCTCAATTTCAATTTCTAGATGTTAGTATTAATATTTTTCTGTGTTTTGATCAGTATTGAGGAAAAAATATTGTATTGTCGGTACGCCAATCATTAATTTTAGGCAGGCCGATGTTGAAATGTCCAATCAGGGTGCTGATTTGTTTTCATATTTAAGGTGGGATTGAGTGGTAGCTTCACTATCTATCTGTCGTTCGACTGAGTAAACTTATTTTTTGTTTAAATGTTTTATATATTAATTGTTAATTGAAAAGTTTTGCTTCATGTCCTCTTTTTGTACTGATGAGGTCTTTCACTTTTACCCTGAGATAGGGTCTAGCATTGACTTGGAATACAGGTTTCCATAATGTGGATTCCCCTGGTTGGCCTTAACTATCATTGATTATCACTGAACAATGAATTACCTCCTTTTTCTTTTTTCTTCTTATGTTTTACATCACCTATGTCACAACCAACGAAAAGTTGACCGACATTTTCATGATATTGTACTGTAGCACCAGGTTGTACAACTGTAAGTATAAATTTTAAGAAATTTTATGAAACTAGCATTTATTTTCTGTGGTTTAATGCCATTTAATAAAAAAGTAAACAGATTCATTGCATTCATTTCTAGTGATGACAGAAACTAGAGTACCTTTTGCATGTAACAGAAAAACTCTAGTATAATCAACACCTACGGACCTAAGAGAGCAGCCTATCTCTAAATTAAATATGTAGTAATATCTAATGTCAACAATGGTCTGTCCTAAAACAACTATAAACCTATTAATTGACAATCCCCTGGCCATAAATTTTAAGGTAAAGAAATACTGTAAATTCAGAAATTATTACGATGTTTTTATTATTGCGAAAAATGCGACAGGGTTATAATCGCAATAATTTAAGCTCGCATTTTGAAATTTTTTATATGAATTAAACAGGATTTTCTCAATATCGCAAAAATTGAAATCTCATTTTAGTCTAAAATGACCAAATCGCAATAATAAATGCACACAATAATTTCTGAATTTACAGTATTGATATACCAGATTTTTTAAGAAATTTGTCCTCTGACTTAACTGTTGGTTTGCAGAGTCTTGACCACATATTGTAATTCATTATAAACTATGACACAAGTATAATTTGTTTCATTAAATCAAACTGTATAACCGGTCAGAAATTTTACCAAACTGCTCTAGGAGAACCACTGGCAGTTCAGCTATATGTAGTAGTCCAAGTGCAAAAAGAAAACATACTAGGGCAGTTTGGTAAAATTTCTGACCAATTGAACAGTTTGATTTGATAAAACAAATTGCAATTTGGTCAGAATGGAGAATGAATATGTGTAATTATAATGTCTTCGAGGCATCATAACTGACAAATCTTAATGACTTTTCTTTTACTTTTTTTCATCAAAAGTTTATAATAATTACTTTGAATTTTAGGACCAATATTGACCCTCATATATGAGAGGGGATGGAAGTATGGATAAGTTGAATATTCTGTTGATTAATTGGTGAGGCTCTGCAGTATGGGTTTTGCTCATTGTTGAAGCCTGTACAATGAGCTATAGTTGCTCACCTTTTACCTCATTTGGTCTATGGTGGAGAGTTTCTCTCATCCAGGCAATCATACCACATCTTCTTATTTTAATATTAAAACTTTTAAAACTTTTTGAATTTCATAATTTGTTATTTTAAACACATGAAAATCTAGAAAAAAATATATAAATATACAGTATATGTACATTGTCAAAAAATATAAAATATATTTGGACAAGCTTTAGAAATTGGATAAAAAGCAAGGCTCGTCCAGCTTTTCCCCTCTTTTGTAGCGAGTACAAATCAATTTTATATTTTCAACAATGTACATATATTGATTTAATCTACCTGCTATTTACACCTGGCACTTTAATGTTTAGTATTTTAATGGGCATTGGCCTAGTTTAAACAGCCGTGAAGAGATGAAAGCCATGAGAGCCCCAAAATGAAATGTCACAAAAAAAGAAATATTCACACTACCATTTGCTTGTCATGATATGGAAGAGGAATAACAGAAGACTTTATTTTGTACCTAGCTCCTGTTATTTGTACAATAAATGGCTGATTGCAGTTTAAAAAGGAGTATAGCCAGTAACCCCAATTATAAACAGCCCTAAAAAGGTGTATTTATTAAACATAATTTTTTTTAGTAAATCTAACGTGTGTGTATTGCCAAATGTATTATTTTTGAAAGTTGAATAAGAAAAATTGTATGTCATTCTGTTTCATATCTATGCATATATAATAACCTGAAATTTCAATAGATTTATTCAGTTTAGACTGTTTAAAAATATTCACCTTTTTTATCACTTTTCTTGATTTTATAATTGGGGCCCTCTCTCGCCCATTGAAATTTTAGTTTGAAATCCTTGCACAAAAATATATCTTATTTTACAAATACGTAGTTTTTACTTCAAATGTGACACTGGGAATCGATTTGGAATAATATATATAGTACCTTTGTATCAATTTCTTTTGCAATCTAGGCAATATTGATGATTCTCAAAATTTGCGATTATTCTTAAAAAAAACTTAATTTTTACTATAAAGTTGACAAAGGGAATCAATTTGGAATAGCATATTATACATGATGCATCAATTTTCACTGCAATCCTAGATCAGATAGAAGATTCTCAAAATTTGTAAATTTAAAAAAAAAACGTTTTAACAGCAATTTTCCCCAAAATTTTCACAGAAATCAATGTTTGTCACCAGGATCAATTTGGGGTAGAATTTTATACCAAAGAATCAGTTTTCATTGAAATCCTAGCACAGAAAGATGTTTATCAAAAAATATAGATTTTTTAAAATACAAGAGGCTGAATCTCACCTGGAATTTTTTGAGTGTAAATCTTGCATTAAGGATTATTTTACTGTTAAATGTATATAAATGCATGCTGGAATATGCCTTTAAAAGAATCACTCTATCTATCATTGTTTCTGCAAAAAATTGGTAAAAGGGCAATAACTGCTATAAGGAATCAAAATTGATATTTTTGAGCATGCTAAGACTTATTTAAAGATCTAGTTTGTTAAACATTTTCATTGTTTTAAGTTGCTGTCTAACTATCACAGTTTGTGTGAAGAAACGAAAAAATTTGGTTAAAATCATCTTACACGGCAATAACTCCTATAACCTGCCAACCCTCCCATTTTGAGCGGGAGTCTCCAGCGCAAACTACCAAATTCCGGAAATCTCCCGCTTACCAGTCCGCTCCCCCGCGGGAGTATACAGTCTCCCGCTTTTGGATATTTTAACCTGGAATAACCCGTGTTCGTAATTCTCTGGCTTTTTCATTACTTTCAATAGAAATAAATAAACAATCGGAAATCATTTGAAAACTTTAGTCAGTAGTTTTTATGTTCGATATATAAGTATTAACGAAATTCAGTTCTGCTATGTCAACTCCAACAAGATAGAGGTCTTTGTCTAGACCTAGCGGCAGTGTAAAAAAGAAGAAATAGATAACTGCAAATAAAAATGTTAAGCAGATTTGAATGAAAGATTTTCAATTTTTACGACCAAGTTCACTTGACAATGAATCTTTTTGCACATCATGTTCAATCGACATTTCGATTTCTTTCGGTTGGCCTGCACGATGTTTGAAAGCATGCTTAGTGTGAGACTCACAACAAAATCAAAATATGGAATGTTATGAGTTATGAGACTTGGAGGTATTGAAAAAGGCTAAAAAAAAACACCTTGTAAGTTGTATAGATTATAACCATGAATTGAAGAAATAAAGTATATTTATTAAATCTTTTTTTGTGTTTTGTAGATGAATACATAAACAGGTCATATAGTTAACTTGAAAATGTCGTTCGCGCAAAATCTCATCCCTCAGCTGTCATAGCTGAGGGGGAAATCTCCCTCTTTGAAGGTTTCAGAGGTTGGCAGGTATGAGGGATCAATTGACAATTTTTGTCATGTTTGACTTATTTGTAGGAATCTTACTTTCTCTTGATCTATAATAGTTTTTAAAATAACAACCAAAAACTGAAAGTTCATAAAAATAATCATTTCAGGGGCAATAACTCCAGATGTCCAGTGACTATCTACTTGAGTTTTTGAGATATAAGCCAAAAACTGCATTTTCCATTTGTGTTCTATATTTAGCCATGGTGACCATGTTTGTTGACTGACCAGAATAAAAAACACGAACTTTATACTAGATACCATTAGAATTTCTCCATAATTTTGGTTGAAATTGGTTCCTTACTTTCAGAGGAGAAGATCTTTGAAAAAGTTTATGACGAGGACGATGGATCCAAAGTTATGACAATAGCTCACATGGCCCTTAGGGCCAGGGGAGATAAAAACTAAGTTTTATAAAAATAAAAGACAAATTTTCACTAAAACAATATATGCAAATCTCAATATTATGCATAAAAACCGTGCAAAATTTCATTGGCTTGAATGCTACACTTTTGGAGTTTTTTGCATTCATAAAAACTAAGTTTCTTCCAAAATTACTATATTAATATTACCAAAAAATTATATGAACATCTACATATGATGTTCAACAACTGTGCCAAATTGAATTAGACTTCATATACTTTTTTATTTTTTTCCTTTTTACAAGTTTTTTTGTTGGATATAGACAGTCACGAACAGATGGACAAAGTTTAAACTAAAGGGGTCCAGCATCCTCCCTGCGGGCCCTATACAAAATTATTACATTATTTTATACATAGTACTGGATAATTACCAAATTTATCTGTTTTATCTTTCTTTTTCTTTTTCTTTTCCTTTGTTTTTGATTTGAATTCTTCATTGTGATCTGTTTTACCTTTCTCATCCTAAAAAATAAAAAAATAATTAAAATTAATTCTTTGTTTTTAAAAGATACAATGAGAAGTAGCACGCATGTCTTGCAAAGTACTGTTGATTCATTCATTTTTGTGGGTATCAATTTTCGTGGATTGAGGAAAACTTACATTTTTGTGGATATTTGATTTCGTGGTTTTTCAATCTATGCATACAAATCATATAGAAAATTTGTAATTCATTGAACATTTGAATTCATGTTTCACCTGTACCCATGAAACCCACAAAAATTGGTATCCAAGAAATACATGTGTAATAATGAATCCAAAGTATACTCATTGTGTTTACTCCTAATTTTAGACATTGACAGAAATTCCATACCCTGTAAGTATATATTATTAAAATTCACAATATTGTCAAACAGGCAGTGTCTGAATAGCAGATCTTGAAATTTCTGACACAATCATGGCTACTATGATGAAAGAAATTGATCACACAGCTTGTAACTTCAATATGCACTTGACCATATATCAAACACATCTCCTTATTTTGATGGTTATTATCTTATTTGCAATGAAATATCATGTGAAATTTTCACTGTAGTACGTACTGGACAGGATAAAACTTTACCCAAGCCAAGTGTTTTTTTTAATTTGAAACAAATATAAACATTTTTGAAAAATTCCAATTCAATTTACCTAGAAAATTGGTCAAAAACAATGGTGGTATTACCCCTCACACAGAAAGTAAGAAGATAATAGACAAGAGACAGAGATGAAAATGTGTTACACAATATAGCTTACCAATATGAAGCTTGCAATTTTGGTACCACACATCAAGAAGTTGTAATTTGCAGTTGCTGACAAAATTTTTCTCAAACATGCATCAATGTAAAGAACTCTATGTGAATAATAGAAAGTTGATCATAGATAAAAGACAGATTTGAAAATATCTATCTAATATGAGGCCTGGTGCCAAATATCAAGAATCTTTAATTTCCTGATTGCTGAAAAAATTTTAACCTGTGAATATCTTATACATGATTCAATGAAAAGAACGTATAAGTTGAAGGATACAGAAAGGAGTTTACAAATAAAGTTCTGGTTTGTAGTTAATTATAAAATGTAGCAGAAATGTGTTAGATGATGCATAGATTCAGGGACCTGTAAGAGGGTAGGAATACCCTTTACTGTCAGGCATCAAACGGTCATTTTCTGCTACCGTTAGGGACAAAATGGTTAAAATTTTATCTTGATTCGTCAGAGTTCTCAAATAATTATCTGTTAGTAACTACCATTTTTTAAAGATAATTAAATTAACGTGATTCCTCAAAATCTATTGATTTTTTTATCGTCATAAAGAAAAATGTTGTCATGCAACAGTTAACGTAATTTGGCAAGATTTTTTACCATTATCCATCATGAAGGTACCCCCATTACGACCCTCCTATAAGAAACAAAAGTAAAGCAGTATAAATATATATAATTACTGGTACCCTCTCCTTTGGAGTTTAATTACTCTTAATCAAAAGTGTATACCTTTTTACATTCATTATTGGTGGGGAATGCAAATTCTTCCTCTCCAGTTCTCTGTTGGTTACTATTATTTCCATCACTTGGTGCACTATTTGGCTGCCCACTATTGTCTTTCCCTATTTCTGAACTATTACTTTTTCCTTTATCATTTTGATCAAAGTCAGACAAATCTGAATGCCCAAGTTTGTCTTTCTTTTTGTCTGAAACATCTCCACCTGTTTCATCCCTTGGATCATTTCCATGTGATTGGTCACTTCCATCTGTCTTTATGTCTGAAACATTATGAACAACAATGAATAATAAGAGGTGTGCGGTAAACATCAATGAGACAGCAATCCAACAACACAAAAAGACAAACAACAATCATTTCTTTTCTCTATATAACAAAATATTTATTTTTATACTCATTCCAGCTTGTACATGTTGGATAATTGCCAAATAACGAGTATAATACAAGGAACATTTAATTAGGCCTTTTTCTGTTGTAAGACCTTTTGATTTGATTATAATTTTTGTTTGCTACCCCCATCTCAGATGTTTGTTTGGCACATACTATTGTACAGTGATAACAGTTTCACCATTGAAACCTTGAAACTCTTATCCCTATAGGAGTTACCTCCATGTAAACTCTTTTCCTTGTTATCATTATTCCTCTTTAAAAGATAATAAAGATAAAAAATTCCAAATTGTTCGTTATATCCTCATAATTTTTCAATCAATTTTGACGGAAGTGATACAGACTTACATCTAATGGGAGTTGTTTTTCTTCTCAATTTTGACATAAGTGATACATTTGAACGTTGAAATTTTAAACCGCAAGTCTGATGATAGAGACACATTATTTGATATGTTGGTCCTTGGTCCAATAGCAGGAAACTGAGATCAAAATCATGTTCTAATTTTGCTTGTTATCATTATTCCTCAGTAACGAAAACAATAAACAATAAAAGTTTTTTTCAACAAACTGTTGGTTACAACTTGGCGCAACTTCAATACATTTGGGTCGAAGTGTGTTGGTGATTTTTTCATCGTAGCTTTCTCCCCATATATATTTAAAATCTGTTAAACTCCTCATCCACAAATAAAACTGAGCTGAGGTCTTTTGATTTGAAATCTATGACCTATGACCTTGAAATAAAGGTAAAGTCAATGATCAATTTGACTTAATAGAGTTCGACCTTTATAAAATCATAACTTAATACTTGTCAATGATAAAACCGATAGGTCTTTTGCATATGACCCTGAGAGAGGGGTTGAGCGCTCACAAACATGTTTAAGCCTGCTCTTGTCACTGGATCTCGCTTATAAGTCGGTACTCCTTTCTGGATCTTAATTTTACTCCCAAATTTCCAACTTATAAGAGCGCATCAACAGTATATTTTTCAATATAAATTTTCAATTCAACAATTTTGACACAGTCAATTTTGATATGCACTGTCAAAATATGCAAATAAATAAAATACCTTAATGACTTATATTACTTTTAATATATTTCAGTTTGAAATGTGTATGTTTCATGTAAAAACAAAAAATCATTTTATTACTTTTCCGAAAGATTCAACTTTGAAACAGAAAGAAATATTTTACTCTGTTCCTTAATTTATTGGTCTATAGGACAGTCCCTAAGATGAAGACTGAACGTGTTAAAAAAAATGTGAGGTCATACAATAATTGGGAATAAAAAGCCATAGACATTTTTCTTGCAAATTATAGAAATGTACATAAATTGCTAGGAATAGAAAACCTAGGTTTAAGTCTGAAGGTCCAATTTCCCTTTTTAGGCACTAAATTTCGTCATTATGTATTCTAATAACACAACATTGTTGTGCAGCTATTCCTGCCTTACACTAAACATCTATGCAAAATACTGTCAAATATGAATTTATTGATGACAGAAAAGTCTTCATTTGCCTTGAATTTGAGGCCCCAACAGTATATTTCACATGCTTAAATAATTATACAATATATATTCGTTTTTTCTTTGCAAATGCTTTAAAAATCATGTAACTGAAATTGAGTAAAAATTGTCTTAAAAATTTCTTGAGCAATTGCCACTAAGCAAACTTATTACTAGGAGTGTGTCCCTTGATCTCTGAAAATTGTCTTTAAGAGAAAATTTATCTACTTGCAATAGATTGAAGCATCAATGCTATCAAATATTTGACATTATTAAATTTAAAGGGGCACTGCTGTCAAATTCATGTTTACCGATTTGACTCAAATTCTTATATTCGACTTATAACATACTAAAACGTAATTCCAAATAAAAAAAAGTCTAAAAAAATGCATAAAATTATGTATCAGCATTTCATGTGTATTTTAGTCTAGATGTCATCTAATTAACCATCCGGGTGACCTTCCAAAGACTGACGACGGTTATATAACCCGCTATAAACATAAACATAGTTTAAATAGATAGTGATTTAACTCGTGCAATTGGATTTTTTTAGGTCTGTTTGATTTCATATTATAGGTTAAAACAATATGTTAACAAGCATTCTGATAGTATTGCATGGCAATACATAGTCCCCTACCGGTTAAAAATTAATTTTACTGGAACAAAATGCTAACTTGATCTATAACTTGTCATGGTGTAAACTAAATAACAAATATCAAGTCAATATCTTCAAGCATGACAAAAAAAAGTGTGGAAAACTGATTATTTATGTGAATTTTCTAAGTCCAAGGACCATAACTCTGCAGACCGGCACAGAATTCGAACTTGGTCCGTAACTTGTCATGATAAAACTATATACCAATTATCAAATCAATATCTTCAAGCATGACGAAAAAGTGAATTTTCTAAGTCCAAGGACCATAACTCTGCAGACCGGCACAGAATTTGAACTTGGTCTGTAACTTGACATGATAAAACTATATACCAATTATCAAATCAATATCTTCAAGCATGACGAAAAAGTGAATTTTCTAAGTCCAAGCACCATAACTCTGCAGACCGGCACAGAATTCGAACTTGGTCTGTAACTTGTCATGATAAAACTATATACCAATTATCAAATCAATATCTTCAAGCATGACGAAAAAGTGAATTTTCTAAGTCCAAGGACCATAACTCTGCAGACCGGCACAGAATTTGAACTTGGTCTGTAACTTGTCATGATAAAACTATATACCAATTATCAAATCAATATCTTCAAGCATGACGAAAAAGTGTGGAAAACTGATTTTTTGAGTGAATTTTCTAAGTCCAAGGACCATAACTCTGCACAAAATCATTAGACCGGAACAAAATTCAACTTGATCTGTAACTTGTCATGATAAAACAATGTACCAATTATTAAATCAATATTTTCAAGCATGATGAAAAAAGTGTGGAAATCTGAATATTTGAGTGAATTTTCTAAGTCCAAGGACCATAACTCTGCACAAAATTATCAGACCAGAACAAAATTCGAACTTGATCTGTAACTTGTCATGATAAAACAATGTACTAAATGTCAAATCAATAACTTCAAGCACGAAGAAAAAAATTGTGGAAAACTGATTTACTGATTTGCTGAATTGCCGAATTGACGGATGGACAGACAGACAGACAGATAGACAGACGGACAGAGTGCAAACCTAAAGTCCCCTTCGACTTCGTCGGTAGGGGACTAATAATCGTTTTTACCTTCATATAAGAATGAGTTTTTGTAGATGGAATCAGTCAATCAAATGGTTTACCCTTGTTTCACTTTCAATGTTGACATTCTTTTCCTTTTACTAGCTGAACACGCCTAGTTCATGAGTAACCCATCTCTAGCTAAGAGGTTCAATTGAAGTTCACATGAATACGGATTTAATGAGGTCTAATTATTCACTTGCAAGTGAATAATTTATTAGCAATGTTTCTTTGCTTATTTTGACAATACTGAACCAAACTGGCTGCTAAAAGCGAATTCTTATTTCAATATTTCACTTTCATTAATGATTGAACAAAAAAAAATCATATTTTATTTTTTTCTATATCTTGTAGCTAGTGCCCCTAGCACGAGGTTGTTAAATGTGATATATACTTTTTTGTGCTTCTTTGTTAAATATTTGTTTGTTTTTGTTGTGATTAAGATTGTGACACATGTTGACTGCTGTACCCCTATTTTGACATTGTTACCTATTATGTCTGTTTGTTTTATTCATGCATCGTTGTCAATATAATGGAATTTGATGCGACTGTCATACAAGTGAGAGGTTTAGCGCTATAATACCAGGTTCAATCCACCATTTTCTACATAAGAAAATGCCTGTACCAAGTCAGGAATATGACAGTTGTTGTCCATTCGTTTGATGTTTTTGTGCTTTTGATTTTGCCATTTGATTAGGGACTATCCGTTTTGAATTTTCATCAGAGTTCAGTATTTTTGTGATTTAACTTTTTAAGGGATGAATTACTACCATTTCATACACTTGCTGGTTGTTAGTTGATAAAAGTTTAAAGATTAAAGGACAACTGTAACCATGGTAACTGAATGATAATGATTTTCTGCTATTCCTAAATAAGACAGAAAAAAATTGTTCTCTTGATTGTTTCCAACTGCCATATTTTCTTATGGTTGTGAAAGGATCTGTTTACCTAAAAATAATGCTATGATCTCTTTCACACATGCATTTTTTAGATTCTTACCATCATTATTATGTGCCGATTCTGTTTTCCCAGATTTCGTGTCAAGAAATCCTGATTCTGGCAAGTCTGGAGTTTCCGAGTCTTTTCCTATATGGGCAAAGTCTACAGTGTAAACAAAAACGATTTTTATTTGATGGTATAGATGAATGTTTGATGTTGCTCAGCAAGCTATCATGCAGTCAACCTATTACAGATCAGTAAATTAAGAAAATAGGTATATGATACTCTGCTTTGTTACCTACACATAAATGATGACTCAAAAAAACTTAAAGAGTCCATTGAAAACATTGTCAACCTGCCCAAAATCAATGTCCTAGCTAGTTCAAACCCCATCAGTCTCTGCATTTCCATTAAAAAACATTACTGCTTAGCTGAGCTTAAACGCAAATTCAAATATTTAAGGCCATTGGTTTCACCTAGTGTATTAATTCAGAAATTATTGTGACTACAATTATTGTGATTTCACGAAAATCTGCATTTAAAGATATATTTATCAAATATCAAAATGTGAGTTCTTATTATTGTGATACTAAACCAGTCACATTATTTGCATTAATAATAAAATGCTCCGCTGGGCGCAGCTTGATACGACCACAAAGGTCAAACCCTGAACAGTTGGGGCAAGTATGGACACAACATTCAAGCTTGATACAGCTCTGAATTTGGATTGTGATTAAATATTTGACACAGCATAGGTTTCTGACACAGAATGAATGTGGTCTAAGAACTTAAAGTTTTTTAATTTACCTATTACGGTCCAATATCCAAAATTTAAATACATACACGGTTAGATTCAGCATATCAAAGAACCCCAAAATTCAATTTTTGTTAAAATCAAACTAAGTTTAATTTTGGACCCTTTGGACCTTAATGTAGACCAATTTAAAAACTGGACCAAAAATTAAGAATCTAAATACACAGTTAAATTTAGCATATCAAAGAATCCCAATATTTCAATTTTTGATGAAATCAAACCATATCATTATTTTTTGCTTTTATATATAAATAAAAAATAACCAACTTAAAATGGAAAATTTTAAAGAAAAGAAAAAAAAGGAAAAAAAAATCCCCCCCAATTTTTTGAACCCCCTTATAATTCATCACCCCCAAACTCAATCCCAGCCTTCCCTTTGTGGTATGGTACCTTGCAGTATAATTTCAGAGAGATCCATACACTTGAACACAAGTTGTCTGGAAACTGTAAAATTGCTTGTTTTTTGGCCCCTTTTTGGCCCCAAATTCCTAAACGTTTAATGCAATAACCCCCAAACTCAAAGCTTTCCCTTTGTGATATGGAACCTTGTATTTCAATTTCATAACAATCCACACACTTACACACAAGTTATTGTCCTGAAACTAGAAAAAGGCTTGTTTTTTGCCCCTTTTTAGCCCCTAATTCCTAATATTTTGAGGCAATTACCCCCAAAATCAATCCCAGCCTTCCCATTGTGGTATGGTACCTTGCAGTACAATTTCAGAGAGATCCATACACTTGAACACAAGTTATTGCCTGGAAACTAGAAAAATGCTTATTTTTTGCCCCTTTTTGGCCCCTTAATCCTAAATGTTTTGGGCAATTACCCCCAAACTATATTCCAACTTTCCCTTTGTGATATGGAACCTTGTAGTATAATTTCAGAAAGATCCATACACTTACACACAAGTAATTGTCATGAAACTATAAAAATGCTTGTTTTTTGCCCCTTTTTTGGCCCCTAATTCCTAAAATTTTGAGGCAATTACCCCCAATATCAATCCCAGCATTCCCTTTGTGATATGGAACCTTGTGGTACAATGTCAAAGAGATCCATACACTAACACAGAAGTTAATGTCTGGAAATTACAAAAATGCTTATTTTTGGCCTCTTTTTGGCCCCTAATTCGTTAACTGTTGGTACCATAACCCCCAAAATCAATCCCAACCTTCCTTTTCTGGTATTGAACCTTATGGTAAATTTCATAGAGATCCATTCACTTAAACTAAATTTATTGTGCGAAAACCAATGTGTCTTCGGACAATCACGCCAACGTCATACCAATATATGACCGCAAAAAAAATTTTAACATCGCAATAATTTCTGAATTTACAGTGGTTAAACCTGAAAATCTGATCACATAAATTTAAACTGAACTCTTCAAAATAATAATATTTTATCTTCAACATATGTATGAAAGGTAATGTGAAGGATACTGTGGATTCATTTATTTTTGTGGGTACCATGATTTTCGTGGATTGCAGAAAACTTGCCTTTTCGTGGATATGTGATTTCGTGGTTTTGCCAAAGCCTGCATAACAACCTGATAGAAATTTGTAATTCATTGAACATTTAAATTCATGGTTCACCTGTACCCACGAAAATTGGTATCCAACGAATAATAATAAAACCGCAGTTTTGGCAATGTGACAGCATAAAGAGACAGAAGACATCTAGAGGTCAACATAAACATCTGTACATATAACATGTATTATATAATAAGATAGTAGATATGTTGTTCTGATACCGTATTTAGTTTTGTATAAATTACACACTTTTTACCCCAAAAATGTAGTTGGTAAAGGGATGCGTATAATACATACTATAGACGATTTTTTCATTTTTTTTTCACGATTTTGAGGGATGAAAAGGGGGTGTGTATTATACACAACTACATACTTTACACAACTAAATATCCAATGTCGCTATTCAAATGATTTTTTGTATTTATTGAGTATTTATATACCGGTATATAGATTATCACACACTTTTTTTTATAAATATATCAGCCTTTACCGTATATAGGGAAAATGTTTCAATTTTACCAGTATTTAGGCACAAATATACTGAACTAATTCATAAACTTGTATCAGCCTGGTAAGTTTTGGGGGACTTCTAATTGAGGACTCACTATAAGATTTGTCTTTGATTTCTGTATAATCTGGCTTATCATTGACAGGTGATACAGCACTGTTATTCATATCTGACCCTTTGACCTTTGGGTCCATTGTATTAAGTTCAGATTGTTTGTCTTCTTTAATATTCGCATCTGTTGCCTTTGCTTCAGTTTCAGTATTCTGTAACTTAGATTTTATAACCTCAGATTTTGGGATTTCAGGTTTTACAGATTCTTGCTTCACTGGCATGTTTACTTGTTCATTTGCCTCTGTGTTACCATGGTGTTTACTATCAACAGAACTTTTCATATCACTTGTCCCTTTTCTTATTTTAGCAATTTCTACAGAATTTTGTGTATTTTTATCAATGCCATTTTGAGTAGCTTGCACACCCTGACCAGGATCGTTCTGATTAACAGTATCTGATTGACAAGGTCTGTACTCTTCTTCCATCTTGTGCCTTTTATTTTCTTTTGAATTTTTTCCTGTGCAATTTCCCATTGTCTTTTTTATACCTGGTAAAATATAAAAAAAACATGACTTGGGTATTCGTGTTTAAAACAGTGCACTGAATAATTTAAACCCAGGAATACCACAAATAGATATTATAAACTAGAGACTCTAAAGAGCTTGTTTTGCTCACCTAGGTCTATGTGCATCTTGAACAATGGACACTTTCCAATATTGTAGACTAGAACAGAATTCATGACAAAAATATCATTGCTGATCATTTTTTCTGATTTAGGGTCTCTCAATTTTCTTTAGTTTTTGCCCAAAACACATAAAGGGTAAATGATTCATTGTATTTAATGGGCAATAACTCCTATAAAGATTCAAATATCTATTACTGGAAAAGTTGACTTAATACTACAACTTGTCTTGCTGATCATTTTTATCATTTAAAGTGTCTATCTATCTTTTGTATATTCAAATTAATAGGCAAAAACATTGAAGAATTAAATAACTCCAATAAGGAGTTGACTGACGATTTTCACCATTTCACTTAATATCTGTAGATCTTTTCTTGCTGATCATTTTTGCAATTTAAATAGTCCATCTATCTACATGATCTATTATAATTTTTAAGATAATAGGCAAAAACACTAAAAATTGGTAAAATCGTCTGAAAAGATCGATAACTTTGATAAGGAGTTGTCTGACGATTTCAGCCAATTGCCACTTATTTTTAGATCTTATCTTGCTGATCATTTTTGCTACTTAAGATTTCTATCTATCTATCGCATCTTTCAAAAATATTGTAAAAACTTGTCAATAAAGGGAAATAACTGCAATAAGAATTTGGAGTTGTCTGACGATTTTGGCCATGTTGACCTTATTGCAGATTGTATCTTGCTGTTCAACTTCATTTTAGTCCAATTTAAATTTCTCTATATATCTATATTTATGGCTTTCAAGATAATAGGCAAAAATTCAAAACAAATGATAAAATTCGTCATTTAAGGGCAATAACTTCTAAAAGTAGTCATCTGAAAGTTTTTTTTTACATAAATTGACACGAGGTAGAGATCAATATTCTAACCATTTTTTTTAGGAAGTTTCATTAAACTGCAAAAAGGTGTTCAGGATTTGTGGATACAAAATAAATATTAAACCCCTTTGTATTACAAATGGACTAACAATTGGATTTTTATGGCAATAAAAGGGGGGCTAAAATTAAAGTTGAAATAAGTGGCATATAGGACGTACTGAAAGGGAGTAGATTCGATAAAGCCCTTTAATGGCCCCTATTTCTAGCTAAAATTTTAAATTATGATTTATTGACAAATATCACAATAAATCATAGCTAACACAATATCCAAATAGGAAATATGTCTATTTGTTAAAAATCTAATTTGTACATTGTTATATTAGCATTCTTTTCATAATGTCACAATAAAGTTCACATTTTGATTTTCCACCAAACAGTCAATGAAAACAACTAAATTTCCATTGATTTTTTTAACTGAAAACACATAGCCCATTCTTCATTAAAAGAAAACTTTAAAAATATTTTTTTTTGTAGAATTTTCATATTTTACTTGAATGTTCAGCTTGTCTAATTCTGTGCTATACATAATAAAATTAATTGTTTCCCAAGCCTACAATTGGTTGAAATCAAGACTTTTTTGTCTAATTTCAGCAAAATCTCTAATAATTGCTTGTTAGAGTTTTAAATTTTGCTGATTTATACGAAAAGCTGAACAAATATATTTCTATTTCACTTTCTTTTATACATGTCTTTTCCTCAGCTTGAAACATTTTGTATTTTGACAGGTTGGGAACATTTAACCCCTCAAGGTAATGACTATCCCTTTTATGCGAGGCAGTTAATTTCAAGTGATAATTTTTTAATTTTTTTTTAAACCACTTTTGAGTACAAAAGGGCAAATATTTATATTACACTAGAACACACCCGCGACATCGCGGATCCGTGACTGAATTAAAGTATCTAATTATGTATAACACTTTTGTTTAATAAGCCTGGATTTTCAGTATTGGTATTGTTATCTGATAAAGTCATGCTGTTATAAGATGCACAGTTTTCTCTGCTTTTAAAATCTTTCTGTTTGAACCCGTCGACCTGGAACTAATTATTATTTCAAAAACAAAAGGGCCTGGAATGGTGTAATTTTTAATCAATATTATATGCCATTATCCTATATTAGTTATATATAAAGTTGAATTCTTTTATTCGCAGTTTTTACGTAATGCCGGCTAACAAATTGGAAACTGTACTTACCCTTATTTTAAGTCTAGATTTTTAGTATTCATATTGTCAATATTATAAATTCATGCTGATTAAAATACTACAATAGGAAACAATGATTATGACCCGTGTATATAGCCAATCCCAAATACACCGTTTGGTGGTGCGCCTGACAGATGCGGAATGTACAGACTAGGTAATAGGTAACAGGTGACATATACTATTGGTATCAGTATCGGGTTCAATCCGGAACTTGTTATTTTTTGGTAAATTCCCAATATTAATTATGTGGAAAACAAAAGGGCCTGGAATGGTGTAATTTTTAATCAACACCATTGTCCTATATTAGTTATATATAAAGTTGAATTCTTTGATTCCTCGTTTTTACCCCATGCCGGCTAACAAGTTGGACCTCGTTATTTTAGTATTATAGATGTATATTTGACAATTTATAAAAGTAAACCATTATAGGTCAAAGTACGGTCTTCAACACGGAGCCTTGGCTCACACCGAACAGCAAGCTATAAAGGGCCCCAAAAATTACTAGTGTAAAACCATTCAAACAGGAATTTTACCAACGGTCTAATCTATATAAAAAACGAGAAACAAGAAACACTTATGAACCTCATCAACAAATGACAACTACTGAACATCAGATTCCTGACTTAGGACAGGTGCAAACAATTGCAGCGGGTACTTATGAACCTCATCAACAAATGACAACTACTGAACATCAGATTCCTGACCTTGGACAGGTGCAAACAATTGCAGCGGGTTAAAAGTTTTAATGGTACCAAACCTTCACCCTTATCTGAAACAATAGTGTAACATCACAACATAGAAAGACACACTATAAAATATCAATTGAAATGGCTTACTGTGACTTGACTGTAAGTGTTGCTCTCAACCTATTGCAACTTATTCAAAATTCTGACCATATTGCAATTTGTTTTATAAAACCAAACTGTTCAACTATAGGTTTCATACAATTTTTCTGTTGAAAAGTCTTCTATGTTCATAAGAATCAGACATCATTTGAATTAAAACATTTTATATTCAGTAAAATATGTGTGAAATTACAATACGTTGTTAGGAAGTTTCCATGGGAGATAATCAATTTTTCTTTCGAAAAGTCTTCTATATTCAAAAGAGTAATGTTTTAGGTTATCTCCCATGGAAACTTATTAACAAAGTATTGTAATTTCACATATATTTTACTGAATATAAGATGTTTTTATTCAAATGATGTCTGATTCTTTTGAATATATATATAGAAGACTTTTCGAAAGAAAAATTGTATGAAAGCTTAGTTTGGACCTTTTTATAGCAATTCAAAATTTCTATCCATCACCTTTAGCATGACAATAACAATAAAATTTCTATACAAACTGTTAGACTGATTTTTCATAACAACATTGAAGTGGAATTAAAGTCTGATAGGATTGTAAGTATGCTTTATTTTATCACCTTGCACTTTCACAATTTGACTGTGGTTTTCTACAGCAGTTTGTTCAAATTTCTGACCAGTTGAACAGTTTGGTTTTATAAAACAAATTGCAATTTGGTCAGATTTTTGAATAAGTTGCAATAGGTGGAGAGCAACACTAACAGTCAAGTCACAGTAACTCAATCAAAAGACATAGTAGACACCAGTGAACATACACTGAACAAATAAATTTGATCTATGATACAATGCAAATACAAAATAAATAAACTAAGGGAAGAATAATTAAAGTATCATGTTATACCGCTGTGAAATGTTAAACAATTTAAGAAAAACAATATGCTTGAACAAAAATATGTCTGTTTTCGTTTTTTATGTCCATTTTTTATTTTAAAGTTTTTTTTTTAATTTTATGTCTGTCTTTGTTCTTTAAGTCTGATTTCGTTTTTGACCTCTGTTTTTAATATTTTAACGTCTGTTTGAACAATTTTTATGTCTGTTTTCGATTTTGAACTCTGCTTTTGGTTTTAACATCTGTTTTTTTAAATTTTGTTCAATTTTGCTAGAATGGCTGCCAATTAATACAATTCGTCTATCTGGTATTTATATTGACAAAACATATTGGAATATGCATGGACTTCAATCTTCTTTATTATTGAAAATAAAAGGACCCCTCTTTTAGAAGAGTTGTTTCAAATATAATAATGAATTTCCCCCCTTTTAAGTTAAAAAAAGGTTTTTCTTATTTCTTTACCACCACACTCAACAGCAACAGCCTTATGTATTTTGATACAAAATAGTACTTAATATTATCAGACACAACCACTTGTTAAAAAAAAAAAAAAATCATGTAAACCTTCATATTGAGGTATACATAATTATTTTTTTAAGAGACAAGTGCCTGTACGTGTGCAAATATTAAGTAATATATTGTATTAAAATACAAAATTTGGCCCTTACCGAACATACTCCTGTAACGGAGATGCTGAAATAATCTCCCTTGACAAGAATATTGGATGACGCAAAATGAACTGCGAAAGAGCGGAATAATGAATTGAATACTTAAATGAAATTATATTGTGATGATTTTGTAGACGTTTCTTCAACTTACTGGATATTTTGTAGAAGACTTTGCCATTCTTATGGAGGAATTATACCTACTAAGATGTACTTGTGAAAAGAATAGACTTATCAAAGAAACATTTTGTACTGGGTCTGAATTTAAGACCAAGAGGAGCTGAAATAGCTCCGCACTCTTTGACTGTGGATTTTATTTACCTAAATTATGTTTTGGCTTTATCATAACTGGATAAATTTTATTCAGAATATAAAAGTATCTGAACATCTGTTTTTGGTCTCATTTGCCAGAGCTCAGTCCCAGTGGAAGGAACCTTTGTCCGGATGAGCCAGACACGTTAAATCAACACGAGGGGATGGTGACGCATAGCCACCCGACCCTCCTGTTACATTTTATGGTGGCCAATGTGGGGATGACTTGAGTTGAAACTTGGTAGTGAGATCCAGATAAGATACTTTGATTTTTACTTAACTAAGTTTTTCGATATTTTCACACACTTATATAATTACAGTATATGAATTTTATGGTACCATTGTATATTATGTTGTTGTTGATTTTATGTATGAAACTTGATGTTCACATATTACACTATTGTTAAATGGAATAAACTTATGGTTTAAATAGACAAATTTTAGGAAATGTTATAGAATATGATAATATATATAGAAGTAATATACAGTATACAACTGTTAGTATTTGAGACAGAGGATAATTGTATTTGAGAGTTCAATGATTACATACATTACATTTTGTACACACTTTTAAGGTTTTGCAACCACATGAATACACTTACTTTCTTAAAACATGTAATTATTTTTAAGCATATAGTAGCGATATAACTTTGCACTGGATGTGTTGTTTTCTCACTAGGGTTGAGAATTATTTTTGTGACCAGAGTGGTTAGGTTAGACTAGTATACTTCCGAATATGTTAGTAGGGGTATCTGGTATAGCTGCTACTGGTGAGATTTACATCCACAAGTCAAGATTGACTAGTGTGCTTGTATATCTGTGTATTCTTTTATCTTTTGTCTAGTGTGTATGTTAATGTGTCTTTCATTTTGGTGAAGTGTTTACAGAGTTAACTGGTGAATACCATTAATAGGACTTGGGGGAAAAATAGTACCGGTACCTAGGTTAGCTGTGTGAATATTTTCAAACACTGTGCAAAAATTTAGCAGTATGAACATTATGTGTATGTTTTGTTTGAATATTGACTATTAAGTATAGTTTTCTCATGTTTGATTTCTACTTTCAGCAAATGTACTTGCTAAACATTTGCATATTCACAGCTTAATTACTTGTCATAGGGTCAATCAAACGTCTCATACATACAAGTGAAAGCAGTTCATCATGCTACAGTCACTTTGATAAATGTGTATAAAGTGATGTGATGATAGACAGTGTGAGATTATTTCGAAAACTTAACTCGAATAAAGCTTCACTGTAATTCAAGTTTTAAGAAAGGAGGAACTTGTAACAGAGATGCTGAAATAATCTCACTTGACAAGAATATTGGATGACTCAAAATGAACAATATCACTGTACAAGAGCGGAATAATGAATTGAATATTTAAATGAAATTATTTTGTGATGATTTGGTAGACGTTTCTTCAACTTACTGGATATTTTGTAGAAGCCACCTCCTGTTACACTCCTTTGGCAAAACAAAATCCAGGATGACTTATTCACCCCTTCCCCTACAGACTTTATAAAATGGTTACAGAAAATTATATAATTTCCTCTTTGGACTTAGATAGTCATATACATAAAAGTGACAAACAAACAAAAGGAAACTACATCAAAAACTCCTAAAATGGAATACAAATTCTTTTACCTGTTTCTCTTTTTTTTTAAATCGTTAAGAACTGCTTTGATTGAATCAAGGGAATGTAGGTAATCATCAAACACTAATCAAAAGACTTTACAAGGTAAATGCTAAATTTAAATTCGGGAAAACATCATTCGTTGAACTTTCGGTTTCTAAATTTAAATTTGGGAAAACATCGTTTGTTGAACTTTCGGTTTCTCTTTTTATTGTAAAGTGTAGATCTAAATTTCATTTTTTATGATTTTCCATGTTCCATTAGTTTCATATTTTACTTTTACATTTTTGCAGCTTATACCGTTCAAGTAAGAAAATTTAAACTTTTGAACTTCAATGTACATAAAAATGTGGTTTAATAATCAATCGGTTTAAAATGGAAGATGCTCTTCGGGTTCATGCTAGAATTTTTGTGGTAGTTAGACAGCTCTGGTGATTAAATTTGGCGGGAGATTGGTAGATTTTAAAGAAGATTTTTGTTATTTTATTCGTTGATATCTGCTGATTTTGATAGAAATCAAAAGTAAGACAAACATACATGAATACAGGCAAATGGTAAAATCTCTATATTGATACTAAACAAGTAAACAACTGACGTGATGGCTATCATAGATAACTTAAAAATGATTATTTGAAATAAATAGATATAGAAACATGCATTACCGTGTTTATATATCACAACTCGTTCGCTCTGCCCGTGTCTGTTGTGACGTTTTGGATTTTAATGAACGTAATCTATATATAAATTATTAAGTCAGTGATTTCGTTACCACAAGTTACTTAAGGATTATGTACCCTTGTGTTGATTCAATGCTAAACATAAGGAAATTTTATAGAAAATCCACAGCCTTTCCGCTTGTACTCTCATATTTGACAATTAGGTGCTTGATAGATACAGGATTATTGCATGCAGTGCTAGCAATAAGTCCTTCAAAACAAGTTTATAAATTCAGATATAATAATTTGGTTAAAACAAACCAATTCAAGTACACCTTTTAGGGTGTGCTTGACTTGAGTGACCCAGCACGAGGTGTTTTGGAATACAAAGGCTGTTTAGAACTTTTTGTAAACTATAAACGCTAGCTGATCATAGAAAAACAAGTGAGTAATCTATGTTTAAAATTTTATAACAAAAATCTCTGTATTAAAGCCTGTGGATTTTCTACAAAAATCTAGGTTTTATTTTCACCAAATTCTCTTTTTCTTCTAAATGCAATTAAACTATAAATAATAATGCTTTAAACGAAGTTTCCCCTTGACATATGTACAAAATAGTCCATCTCTTTTATTCATTATCTTTGCTGTTTTGATACTATAGCAGTTTGAAAATTTCGTAATTGACAGGCCACAAAAGGGGTCATAAACCTTAAAACCTTTACTAAATTCCTCCATAGATATAAAGAATTGGTTTTGAAGTTTGGTTGTACCTTTAGAAAACTTATTTCAAATGGGATTGCACATCCTCATTTTTACGGAGATGTTGTTTACCAACCCCAGAAATTTAGAAATGATCTTGGTAAAATTATCAATTTTTTAAATAAACCCATTCTAAAAGGTTTACTGGTTACCAATTCAGCACTGTAATAAGCTTAAGATCTTTGAATATTGTTTTTATTGGTATTAATATTGATTTTGTTATCAGTAAATTAAAAGCAAACTAAATATTATTGTTATATACATATATATATATATGCACATTCATGGCTCTACAATCTGTGGATACCTTAGTATCTTGGCATTGCACAAGGTCATGTTTTTCTCTGACTGTTTATGATGTCTTTACACTAAATCCATTGGATGTTGGATGTGTACTGATTGATAATTTAGTCTTACATGTAGATGCATGATTTTTTTTATTAGTTGTTATTGGCTTTGATCTAACTGTCAGTAACTGCGAGTACTCTCAGATCTGTACTTAGTGTATTTTTGTTGTTGGGATGTACATGTACAAGTACCCTTCCACGTCCACTCTGTGTTTTTGTTAGATGTATTCCTATTTGTATCAATCTGATGAGCTAAGCCTTTTTCAACTGTTTTTTATAGTTTGTTCTTATGTTGTACTGTTTCACCACTGTCCCAGGTTAGGAGGAGGGTTGGGCGCCCACTAACATGTTTAACCCCTGAGTGTGCCTGTCCCAAGTCAGAAGCCTGTAATTGAGTGGTGGTTTTTTCGTTTCTGTATACTTTATTTATTTTATCGTTTATTGTTTTGTACAGTTTGTTCTTGTGTTGTGCTGTTACACCGCTGTCCCAGGTTAGGGGGAGGCATAGGCGGATCCAGGGGGCCCCAGGGGGCTCAGGCCCCCCTTTTGTTGGAAAAATTTGGTTGATTACATAGGGAATCACTGAAGCATGACTGGAGCGGGCCCCCTCTTAGGGCAGTCAGTGCCCCCCCTTGCTTTATGAAAATTTCTGGATCTGCCAGTGGTAGGGTTGGGCGCCCAATTTACACATTTGTTTTTCGTTCATTACTTTGTACATAAATTAGGCCGTTAGTTTTCTCGTTTGAATTGTTTTACATTTGTCATTTGGGGCCTTTTATAGCTGACTATGCAGTATGGGCTTTGCTCATTGTTGAAAGCCATACAGTGACCTATGTCGTTAATTTCTGTGTCATTTGGTCTCTTGTGGAGAGTTGTCTCATTGCTAATCATACCATATCTTCTTTTTTATATTAATGTGTGTGTGGTTTTGTTTTAAATATACGCAAATTTTCATTATTTCATAATACTGATAGAAGAAAATAAGCATTTGTTGGTATATCAAAGGTTCAAAGCAAATAATTAATTATAAGATAATCTAATCTTTATTTATTTCACTATAAAGATCCATATATGAAAAATATATATATAGGATGGGTTTGCTACAAAATGTTCTGATTGATACTTTAAGGATGTACTTAGGTGAGGTTTAGGAATTTTTGTCGGATGTTCAGACTCCTTGGTTTTTTCCCTACAATACAGGGAAAATGTTTTGCCCCATAACACCCATTTTTCTTTTCATATAAGACTTCAATAGCTCATAAAAGGTCATTTACCAATATTTAAGCAGAATCTAGATTTCTTTTCTTTCGATTTGAGACCCAAATAATACCAATGCAAATATAAGGTTAAAGACCGAGTCAACCTTTTCCCGCCATTCTAAAAAATTAAATATCTCAAAAAGGCTCCATAACCTATCATTTTTTTAAGCTTATTTTGTTCCTGAACTAATGCTCTTCTGACTTATAGTATCAATTTTAAATTCTAGAATTTTTTAATTTCACCTAAGTACATCTTTAATTTAATGTTATAAAATATTTTTTTACAAAAATTCATTACAAGACTACTTACTGTACATAGTGCTACTAACATGACTAAATATAGCAAAATTTGAAACTTTATAAAACATCAAATAATCTACTGTAATTAATTGACTTTTCTTTAAATTTATTGTTTTAATAGTATATATAAACTTTGTTATCGTTAAATTTATCTTCTAGTCGCTAATTTTTAGCTCACCTGGCCCAAAGGGCCAAGTGAGCTTTTCATCACTTGGCGTCCGTCGTCGTCTGTTAACTTTTACAAAAATCTTCTCCTCTGAAACTACTCGGCCAAATTTAACCAAAATTGGCCACAATCATCATTGGGGTATCTAGTTTAAAAAATGTGTCTGGTGACCCGGCCAACCAACCAAGATGGCTGCCATGGCTAAAAATAGAACATAGGGGTAAAATGTAGATTTTGGATTATATCTCTGAAACCAAAGCCTTTTGAGCAAATCTGACATGTGGTAAAATTGTTTATCAGGTCAACATCTATCTGCCCTGAAATTTTCAGATGAATTGGACAACCCGTTGTTGGGTTGCTGCCCCTGAATCGGTAATTTTAAGGAAATTTTGCCGTTTTTGGTTATTATCTGGAATATTATTATAGATAGAGATAAACTGTAAACAGCAATAATGTTCAGCAAAGTAAGATCTACAAATAAGTCAACTTGACCAAAATGGTCAGTTGACCCCTTAAGGAGTTATTGCCCTTTATAGTCAATTTTTAACCATTTTTCATAAATTTTTATACGACCGCAATCGTATATTGGTATGACGTTGGTGTCGTCGGCATCGGCGTCCGAAGACACATTGGTTTTCGCACTCTAACTTTAGTTTAAGTGAATGGATCTCTATGAAATTTTACCATAAGGTTCAATACCACAAAAGGAAGGTTGGGATTGATTTTAAGGGGTTATGGTACCAACAGTTAAGGAATTAGGGGCCAAAAAGGGGCCAAAAATAAGCATTTTTGTAACTTCCAGACATAACATGTGTGTTAGTGTATGGATCTCTCTGACATTGTACCACAATGTTCCATATCACAAAGGGAATGCTGGGATTGATTTTAGGGGTAATTGCCTCAAAATTTTAGGAATTAGGGGGCAAAAAAGGGGCAAAAAACAAGCATTTTTCTCGTTTCATGACAATAACTTGTGACGGTGTAAGTGTATGGATCTTTATGGAATTGTACTACAAGGTTCCATATCACAAAGGGAAAGCTGGAATTGAGTTTAGGGTAATTGCCTAAAACGTTTAGGAATCAGGGGCCAAAAATAAGCTTTAAAACTAGTTGTTGGCATGACACGGGTTATGTTCTTCTCATATATGTTATGATGGTATGATACTAAACCCCTAACGGGAAGGATTGTGCCTGATATTCATATGATGAAGACATAATCTTTCAATCAGTTTAATTGAAGTCTGGAGCTGGCATGTCAGTTAACTGCTAGTAGTCTGTTGTTATTTATGTATCATTGTCATTTTGTTTATTTTCTTTGGTTACATCTTCTGACATCAGACTCGGACTTCTCTTGAACTGAATTTTATGTGTGTATTGTTATGCGTTTACTTTTCTACATTGGCTAGAGGTATAGGGGGAGGGTTGAGATCTCATAAACATGTTTAACCTGCCGCATTTTTGCGCCTGTCCCAAGTCAGGAGCCTCTAGCCTTTGTTAGTCTTGTATTATTTTTAATTTTAGTTTCTTGTGTACAATTTGGAGTTTAGTATGGCGTTCATTATCACTGAACTAGTATATATATTTGTTTAGGGGCCAGCTGAAGGACGCCTCCGGGTGCAGGAATTTCTCACTACATTGAAGACCTGTTGGTGACCTGCTGTTG